TAACATTTCTTACAGTCATGTTTTATCAAATTTTCATTAATCTTCTTATCGTAAAAAACAAATTATTTGTTTCATTAGTCTATTAAATTTAAAATGGTGAAATTCTTTTGCATTCTTTCATTATCAATCATTGTTGTTGCTGTTTTTTAGACAAACATCTTATTAGTTTATATTTTATTTCAAACAGTCTTATTATTTCATTTTCTTCTGTTTATCTAAATACAGATAAAAGCAAACTTATGTAATTTTGTTTCTCTTCTTTTATTAACTATAAAATCCAAAGAAAGACAACTTTCATCATCAATGGATTGAACTTCACACAGATTTTTCTTCTAACTTATTTAATATATGATCAATAGAAGAAATATTTGTTTTAATTCGTTTGTTATTGCAACTTCATTTAAAAAAACATTCAGTATATAAATTACTTCTAGATATTTTCATCACGCATTGTTCTATGCCATCATTTAAAGAATTATTTTCATTTTTTACTAACAAATAAACCATTGAAGTCAAACCAATTGCCAATTTTTTTCTTATATTATATCTATCATATAGTAAATCATCACGAGGATTTATATTTAATGCTTTATATATAAATGTTCAAATTCAACATTAACTGTTCATGGTAAAGTTAATTCAATTACACTTGATCAATGCACAAATGTTGGCATACAATTTACAACAGTTGTATCATTAGTTGAATTTGTTAATTGTTGTCAAATAAAAGCACAAGTAATGGAAAATGTACCAACAATACAAATTGAAAAAACTGATGGTTGTCATATTTATTTATCAAATTTATCACTTAATACAAAATTTATAACATCAAAATCATCTGAAATGACAATTAATATTCCATTTGGTGATGGAGAATATAAAGAATATCCAATACCAGAACAATTAAAAATATGTTTACAAGATAGAAACAACTTATTATTGTACCAAATGAATCATCGGGTGGTGTTTTAATCAAATTCAATATCTATTATTTTTCATCTAAAAACAAAATTCTACTGTTATCTCTTTTGTACTGACAATAATTGCTTGGCATGTATGAACTATTCTCAATTATGACATTATCTTAAATATATTTAACATATTAGAATACGATTTGGTTCTCATTCATATTAAAACATCATAAAACAAAAATCGTTCTCCTTATCGTCTTTTTGTCGAGAAACTAAATCTAATATTCTTACAATAGAAACGGCGTATGCCAATCATTTGAGAAATGACTGTAAACAACTTTTTCAACTAAAACGGACCTTCTATTGTCAGAGTTAGATAGATTATGTTCTCAACACAAGATGACCGAAGGAATTGATTCGACAATATTTTTTAGTCTTGTGTATAATCTTTATTCATAGATGTTATTTATTTTGGCTAAACACAAGAATAGATAGAAATTAGCACACAAAATCAAGTATTTTTGATACAAAACATTAGTAAGAAAATCCACTAAGATGTCAGCCTTTTCTGTTCTACGAACAGTTTTCATTGACAAATCAAAAGAATTGATTTGAAAAAACACAATCACAGATAAACTATAAATTGATAAAGTATGTGAAGTTCAAATAGTTAAGCAATTGTGAAGATCTATACTATACAAGCTCATCACTCGCTTCTACAATCAATTTTTGGGTGATACTACATATTGTTATTGATTTCTCGTTTCAAACTTTTATCTTTATTCGTTCTTTTTTTGTCTCTTTTCAATCATTTAATTTCAAATAAATAAATCCATTGTTCGATATATTTTATTTAAATAATTCAAAATCAATAGCCTCACGTATACATATATCAGGAAAATAGTTTTTGATATGTTCATTGATTCGATCCATCTCATCAACATATAGAGCAGCAAGTTTAACACAATTACTTCCTGTTGTATATCTTGTAAAATAGTATGTCACTGTTTTCAATGATTGATAATGGGTACAAATATGAAGATCATTTGGCAAAAATATTTTCGTATCAAATAAAAATAGTTCAACATAATCATCATGAGTATCAGAAACATCCAGTCGTTGAAGATTGGGATATTCAATAATTGGTAGTATTTGATCATCATTGTTTGATTTTATAAATTGTTTTTTATTTTGTGCTTTTCGATTGTTTATTGTTAGTTCTCTCATAAATGGAAATGATTTCGAAATTCGAAGAAAAACTTCATATTCAAATGAATGTTCATCATATAATAATACTTTAGTAACACTCATAAATAATCCACCACGAAAATTATTTGTTATATTATTGTAAACTTCCCACTTATATGGATATGAATAAATATGACATTGACTATATGCTTTTTCTTGAAAATGATCAATACAAGTAATTATTTCATTATTAGGAAAATATTGAAACGTTTTCTGAATATGTTCATTTAATGGAAAATTTGTTTGATTACGATGATATATGATTGAGCAAATATTAAAGGTGAACTTGTATAAGTGTGGCATATAAATAACAATATCTTTCTTCAATGTCTCACCATCAATCAACTTTTCATAACATCGAACTATAATATTTAAATGAAGTTCTTCTAAATTTAACATTCGACGTAGACGTGGCACAACTGATTTCTCAAAATTACATATCTTATCCTTGCACCACAAAGAAAAAATCCGTAAGGTTGGTAATGGCTTTTCCTAAAAATGAAAACAAATATAAGTTCATTTAAACAAACAAAATATTAATAAAAGTAACCTATCTTATGCTCAATGTTCATATAACAAGTTGTATAAAAAATAACATATAGTATGCGAAGTTGACCAAAACGTCCATCAAGTATACAAAGACATTCGTCTATATCTGACACAGTGACATGTAATTAGTTGAAGAAAGATCAGTTCCAGGCGTCATAAATAAATATAAAGTGTTAAGATGAGATGAAGATGGGTTGAATTTTAAACATCATAAATTAGTAAATATAGTGAAAATTTGTGCAAATATCCTTGTATGGCAAACTCCCATGTCAATCCATTCGTTTTCATTTTTAAAATTGATAAAAAGTAATGTAATTTTATTTTTGTATACATGCGGGAAACGATTTTCATCTAAATAAAATTTTAAAGTTACTGATAAAAATATTTTTTTGATCTATTTTTATTCGGTTAATAAATACTCTCATTACATTCTATGTGATCAATAGTGTTCTATCTCAATCATTGACTTGTTTATATTATTTTCTTCTAGACGCTCTAAATTGTCTTCATTAGTCTCGAAAAATTTCAGTCGAATATATTATTAATATCTTTTTTTTTGTTATACAAATGAACGATTAAATTCTTTTTTGAGTAATGGCGTTCCTACATATAAATAGAATTTTTTATTTATGTAAACAAAAGTGAAATGAAAAATGATTTACTATTAGTATAAAATGTTTAATTATGAATACCTATTTCTTTTATGTATACATTGGAAATCAATCAAAGAAAATTTCTTACCACAAAACAGAAACATAGTTAGTTGTTCGAATTGAATATCACATAAACCAAGGTTGATTAAATTAGGGCAATTTGTAGCATGAAAAACACGTTCTGTCCATGTTCCTTTAAGATAAAGAGTTTCAATTTTATGTCCAATTTCAGGTAAAATTTTTGAACAAAATCGATCAAGTATTGGATTTGATAATGGGAAGGTAGAATCGTCGACTGGAGAATATTCTCGTAAATATAAATCACGAGTAAAAATTGTGTCTTGTACAATTTTACTGATTCTTTTATTAACACCCATTAAAGAATAAAGCACTTCATCATTGTACAATTTTTTAAATATATATATATAAGAATTTCATCAGGTAAATCATTCAACTGAACCAATAAAGCTTTCATGTTTATTTGTGTATCTATATCTATTTTTCTAAGAATATATATATAAGCTCTTATGAAACTTATCGTTAAGTGATTCTAATAAACATTCTTCCGGCTGTTGTTGTTTATAGGAAAGCTTGGTTTTATACGAAAGAATTTGTTAATAACAAATAGGCTTGATGATTATATATAAAAGTCGAATTTTTATGATGAGACTATTCGACGAAAAAACGAAATGATATTGTCAAGAATGTGTTCTAGAATTTATTAGAATTAGTGTTGGATAATTTTTCATCTTCTTTTATTAGAAAAAAAATGGAGAAAAACATTTTCGAATAAATAGGATTGTTGATACAACCTCTTGCTAAATGTCCTATTACTTATTATGAATTTATTTATTCGTTTTCAATATCTTCGTAGGAAATTTAACTCTCGGACCTTTTTTTAATTTCTATATTTAATCGAATTTATTATTTGACATATATTAATAATAAATTCTCTATCATCAATAATATAAATATAAAATACATAATAAGATTTAGACAAAAGGTTTTTTTTTATAGGCTGAATATATTTTATCTAAAAATATAGAAACAAATTTTCATCGATATGAAACAAGGCACCGTTCATCCTATGGATTCGTTGGCCCTTTTCTCAAAGAAAAATTTACTAGGGCGATTATTAGAGAAACCTTTAACTGAGAATATCTAATATGTCTCAACCTTCTGATTCGAATGCAAACTTCCAAAAATCTTTGTATAATTATATGCCATGCTATACACTGCTCAATCTGAACAAATCTTCTTCGTCTTACGGTTTCAAAAGGCAAAAGTGCCAGTATCAAATTAGGAAAATATAACATTCTCATATTTTCTTCGTTATAAATACACTACTGACCATAAGTCCCTGGACGTGTGAAACTCCAGACAACTTCAACCGTTTTTTATCAATTTTTTACCGGAGATACAGCTCGAAAAACTGTGATCATAAGCACCAAATCGGACTCGATTGATTGAGATAGAATGTGTTTAGGCTTCAAACACTGCTTTCAGCTGTTGTGAATTCCATGTAACAACATCACAATTAGTTGTTGATCAATATCAACATTTAACACGTGAATTCGATCAAGTATCAATGGAAGCTAAATCACAATTATTTCTTAAATATTTTACTTTATTTATGAATTTATTAAATGATTGTAGTAATGATTTAAATGATGATCAAAATTCTTTATCGGATTATCATCATCAAACAAATAATGAACGAACAACAACAAATATAAATAATCAAACACAATTTATTAATCAATTACAACAATTGCTATGTCAAATTTACTTACAGCTAATATTGAAAGTGGTCTTATGAGAAGTACTGGTAAGGCAATCAGATTTTCTTTTTTTATATGAGAATGAGATTTTTTATTTTTCTTAGCACTTGGTTATCATCGTGATCCACAAACTCGTGCAGCTTTTATGGAAGTTTTAACAAAAATTCTTCAACCAGGAACTGAATTTGATACATTAGCTGAAACTGTTCTTGCTGATCATTTTTTTGTTTTCATTTACTATATTTCACGTAGGGATGCACCAGTGCCAGTTCACGACTGGAGGATACCCAGTGGCACGGGGTAGGAATCCAAATGGACTGAGTTCTTGCCAGAATGAACAGTCTCGGTACTGCAAATCGATTGGTACCAATCTTTCGGGATCACCCAGTGGAACTGGTACTGGTGCATGCATAATTTTCAAGTTATCCGAATAAATTTTGATAGGAACAAGATATAGGCTTTCGGAGTTTTCACCATTCGAGAAAAAAAACGATGTTTTCTTTTGTTTCATAAGTTGTTTTTCAATAATCTCATCTCAAAAAACGAAACTTTTTTTAATTCAAAGGATGAATTAGTTCTTGTATTTATAACAATATTTGATGCTAAACATTCATTACATCAATTAATATCAAATATGTTTGCAAAAAGAAGTTGAAATGGCTGATTGTTATCAAACAATCTTACGTGGTATTGGTTTACCAACAAAAATAATGTATATTGCGAATTTATGTTCATATGAAGTTGACCCATCACGTATTGCACAACATGAACAATCAGATGATAATAGAAAAACTTTATGTTTATTAACACAGGACGTTTTCAACCTATTATTGATTCACCATTACAATTTCCTTTACAATTAAGAATATTATGTTCATGTTTATATCAAGTTGTGCAACAATGTTCTCCTCAATATCCTTTACAAGTATTTTTCTTTTCTTTTCTTTTTAAATAAAAATATTTTCTAAATTAGGCTGTATCAACTGTTATATTTCTTCGTTTTTTGATTCAGTAACAAATTTTATTTTATCAATAAGTGAACCAATTAATATAAATACAATAATATCATCAGATGAACAACAACAATTAATTGAAAATAATAATAATAATGATTCAACAATTGTTTCACCAACATATCCAATGTCATATATAAGTAGTACTCGTACCATGAGTTGCTGTCGTCTTTGCAACATAGAAGAAGTGCGTAGTGTTTGTGTAGTCAAAACATAAAAGATAGCGCTTCCTCTATGAGCTCTATGTTTTGTGGAACTCACATATATTTTCAAAGAAAATGGTGAGTGTAAGTTTAAAAGTAAGATTTTTGCGGCTCCCCCCCCCCATTACAGACATAAGCAAATAGGTAATGATCTAATTATAGGTTTTTGGAAATCAGGGTGAATTTTTCAGATGAACTATTTTGAATTCTTTTAGTAAGCCGAAGGGATATATGTGAGTTTCACATTTTTGCCCCAAAGGGGCTGCGCTAACAAATTTTTCTTAATTGTGTACGTATTAGGATATATTTTTATTAATCGAAATTCAAATAAATAAATCCAGCGCGAGAAAACTATGTTAATCAGTTATTATTGTATGTTTGTCTCTCTCATAGTAATCTCTGTTATATCTAATTCATTTTTTTCAACAAATTAAAATTTAATGTCAATTAATCGTGCTGATTTAGTTCGAGGAATATTAATTGGTTCCAGTATTTTTCTTAGTTCAATAATATTAATAATAACAATTTATTTATTATATCGTTATCGAAAAGAATCATTTAATTATTGGAAAAATTTTAATAATAAAAAAGTCAATGAAGAATTAAGTACTCAAATTAAAAGAAATGATTCTGAAATACTAGATTCATTTAAAGATTTAAATAATGATCGAAAATCAATGAAAATTTCTTCGACACCAACATTTATTGAAGAACTTATGAGAAAAAGTTTAGACTTAGCCAAAACAGCTGAAAAAATTGCAGATGAAAAAGAAAAACGAATTGGTTTTAAAGAAAAAATTCATCTTGATTTAATATAAAAAGATTTTCATTGCGCCTTTTATTTATTATTATTGAACGAGAAAACTTCTTCAATGAATTCTCGATCAAATCAAACTAATTCATTATTTATTCAAATTAAACCTAAAAAAGCATTTAATAAACCATATCAACAAAATATTGATGAAGAAAAAGGTATCAATCAATTTTTATTTATTTTTTATATGATTTACATTCGTTCGTTTTTATTTACTAATAATAAAAATTTGTTTGAGGAAAAACTGAAATTTTTACATCAATAAATGAATCAAATGAAAATGAAAATGAAAATGAATATGGATTAATCAAGAAGTTCAATAATGTTGAATCAAACAATCGAATCAATAAAACACATTCAAGAATAAGTTTAAATATTTCTTATTTAATTGAGCAATCATTAAAACAAATCGATGAATATCGTTTTAAATTTCAAAATAAATTACAAGAAAATAAATCTTTAATTAATTATTCTCAAAAATCATTTATTCAAAATGATTTCATTAAAAAAGTTAATTCAAATTATTTTATTAATCGTAGAAATTCAGATAAATACAATAGTAATATTTGTTTAATTTTCTTTTCTTTTGTATTTATTCATTATTAAAATCAATATTTAAGGAAATAAACTTGACGAATTTAATTATGAAAATATTTTTGAATATTTCGAAGAATATTCTCACTATATAAATAAATTATTAAACGAATATTTAAATGATGATTATCATGATAATATTAAATTGAAGATAAATTGTTTATCATTATGTGAACAAATAAAAGATTTTTTCAAAAAATTAAATAAAAGATATAGAATTATTGTACAACTTTATACGTATCAACATCTTGATCAATCAATTGTAATTGCATCAAGATCTTTATTAGACAGTCAACATGATACATTTTTAGAAAAGCATTTTAAAAAGACAAATTTTTTTGCTCTTATCATTATTTATTTCATTTATAAAGAATGAATTTTGATATGCGTACATATTTCTCTACCAACTAAAATATTTGATCTGTCACGCGACTCCTGTGTGAGGCGGCTATAGACAATCTACAATACTTTTCACAACTGCTTTCAGCTGTTGGAAGCATTATCTATGAATTTAGCATTTCGATAGGAAGTTCCGAGAGATTCTTACAGAAAGAGAAAACGAGGACGCGCTTCTTCACTACGCACCTACAGCCTTGCGAAATTTCAATTTAGATATGTTTCAATCAGGAGCACAGCACCCCTCACATTTCTCTGTATTCACAGTCGCAGTTTTAATATTGATGGCGAATCAATAGACGAATCTTCATCGATGACAAAAAAAAATGTTTCGTAAGAATTTTATTTGCTGACAGTTTTCATTGACTATTGATATATACAGATCGTTAAATAAATATTTGATAAATATCATTATTGAATCGCATGACTCATAAAAACTAGAAGATTGTGTATCTTTTTATTCATTTGTTTTCATTGAGTACAGCTGAGTAATTCTCTATTTGTTATGCTTCACCGTGTGCTCTTAATGGACCCGACGAGATGCCGATCTACGTAACTACAATTGAATCTGTTGAGACGACGTGTAAAATAAAAACAAGAAGCGAAACAAAAAAGAAAGAACTTGAATCTTTAAATAAAGGCAAACCAATACCAACAGATTATAAACGATTATATTTTTCAATATTTCATCATTATTCGAAAGATCTAAATCCGTTAAGAATCTGAACTAAATTCGAATCATAATATTTAACATCTGATAAATAATTTCATATTAGGTCGGGCCAGAGACTAAATGCTTTCTTCTTATTACTCGCGTAGAAAAATTACCCAAAGCAGGTTTTCGTGAAGAACTTCACTGGCGCCGTGAAAAAGGTTCGTTTTCATGGATGCATCGAGATTAAATGATCGATTTTATTTTGAAATAAAATTCAATAAATAAAGTAAACCGTTTTTAGGCATTACACAAATCAGAGTGACAACAAAAAATTGAAACCTGTCCACTTCTAAAAGTTCGACATTGTGTTGAAGCACCTCGATTAATTAGTTGTTGACTCTTGGGATTTTCTCCAGTTGTTATCATTGTTTTCTAAATAGATTACAATGATATTAAGCTTTTATGAAAAATATAAAATGCTTACTATGCATTGATGGTCATCGTTAGAAGTTGTAATAGTAGCCAACTTACTCAAAGTTGAATTACCACAATCCGAACATGAATAGCATTGAATTGTTAGGCATTCATTTTTCACACCTTAATAATATGGCTCATAAAAAATATTATTTATCTTAAATATTTCGACTTACAATTTAATAGAATGATAGCGAAGATAAGTGTAAGACTTCCTTTCATCAACATTATTACAAATGAAATATATTGCGAATAACAAAAATAAGTAATGTAGTCCTATTGACTGTTGTGGAGGCATAATTTATCACCGAAAAGAAGAGCGAAAGAGAGAGAGAGACAGAAGAATGTTTGAAAATAAAAAAGAAAAGATTCTTTGTTTCCGCCTCTTTAAAACAAGGAAAATATTTATTCGCCTTGAATATATCATTCATAAACTATCAAAGTAAAGTGAAAACATTCAAGTTATTCAATACAAGAAATGATGCTGTCAATTCGATTTGTATTATTCGCAGTATTTGTCCTTCAAAGTGAGCCATCTTTTTTTATTTTTCCTAATAATAAGTCTTAAGAACCTATATCCGTAAATCGAACGATTATTCATACTACATGTTCATTTACACGTATGATAATTTTCGGTCCAGTTAGATATCAAAAGAAACCCTTAGTGACTCTCAATTTCAAAGTATTAGTCATCGCTCCGTAATCCTAATTAGTTAGTACTTTCATCTGAATGAAATCAATAAGTGATCTACTCATTATTATGAATCATCTCGAGTTAATTGTTGGTCTGATGAAAACAAAATTTAAAACAATGCCTTTCATTGACAGATATTCAAACAGTTCAATCAATCATATGCTATCAATGTACCGATTGTCCGCTACCATTTAGTACAACTTATCCATATGTGACGCTATCTACTAATACAAATTTTGAGGCGAAATGCCTTGTAAGTTGGTCCTTGTTGAAATCTTGATAATAAAACATGGCTTTTCTCGCTCTTGTCTTCTAGACCACAATCGTCAAATTAAGTGATGGTAGTCGTTTTATAACAAAAGGTTCAGCATTCAATTGTCCTCCTGCAACAGCTGCAACTGATGTTCAATTGAATTGCTGTGGTAATGATTATTGCAATTCCAGTGTTCGCTTCACTCCATCTATTCTTCTTTTGTTTTTTATTTTCATAAGAATATATTTATGAATACTCACAATACTAAGGACACAGCTTGAATGAAATTCGTCCATTATTGTTTGATAAATATTCAAGAATTTTTTAAATAAAATACTAACATCAAATTGTTTTCTTCTTTCTTCAAATTACAACAATGTCGACCAGTTGCTAATTGTATCCTAATCATTTTAAATAGGTTTCGGAAAACTTTATACAAATGAATGGAACGAGATTTTTTTCAACAATCGCCAATGCAGTGTTGTATAATATGTAGAAAAGATTGCGTACCTGTCAGATATGTTGTATGTGAATGAAAAAAGTCGTTCGTCCATATATTCGCGGCTATCACAATTGATCTGACCTTCAATTATAGTTTGTTTTTCATTGTTGTCACGATGAAAAACATTTAGATACAACTTCTGATATAAAAATGAACTGCTAAAATATCATAGATCTTTTATGCATAGTAAATAAAAGCCTCAAAAGTATTACAAGTCAAGAAAGTCTGTCAAGTTCACGTGTAACGAACTGAATTCAGATTGAGAGCATTTGATCAAATCGTATTTGAAATGGTAGTAGCACATAAAATTGTATTCAATTTAATAGATATACTTATGTACATCACATTTAGCCATCGATTTCAATCCTGAAATTCCACTCGATTCCCTCTATTTGTGAAAAACAAACAAAATATTACATATCTGAGTTTATACGTTCTAAATACATATTTATTGTACAAGTTGTCTATTATTAATAGAAGTATATAATTAATTGAATTCTTTAGTACAATGTTATTAGTGCAAAAATAAAAACAAAATAGTCCAGTGGAATTGATTTGTCGACATGCATATAGTTTAGATTGTTAGACGAAAGAGAAGTTCGAAATGATAAAAATCATTTGTCCAATATGTGGTACTGAACATAATGCACTAGTTGGGTCACTTACATGAGCTGAACAGGACAAACTAGTGCCATATCTCATCGGCTTAAACAGACTTGTTGGGTAATTTTTATTTTGGTCGGAAATAAGAACATATGCAAGAATTGCTCAATCATTTCAACGCCTAACACGTAATATGAATATAAATTCACTAGTTCGTAGGTAGCTACTATTTATAGTTTCAAAACTTTAAAAAGATAGACTCCGATTTCTATCGCGAGGGATTGAATGCAAGTCGAATGAAACGTATTCACGATGAAAAAGTAGTATCTAATTTTGATTCATTAGCAGATTAGCGAGCAAAATAACTGTCTCATACGAGGTGTACTACGCCAGAAAAAGCAGAATTAAGTATGCTGTTGTAGTAAAAGTTTAAAAAACATTTTTCTCTGTGATATAGGAATTATATTTTCATCCAACTCACCATGGAGTTAATGATAACCTTGTTAGAAAATTGGCAATTTCTAGAAATGTCAATGTTCATGCGTTACCAAGTGACAAACGTGTGACTTCACTTAAACACGTCACAGAAAGTCGTCTATGTACCAATATGGAATTTTTTCTCTACAAGCTTGCTTTTCTGTAATATTCAATAGACGAGCTATTATATTTTTTCAGTTTATGCCACTCTATCGAACAGACACACATATTTTATTGTTTTTCAAAGCAAAAAATAAAACGTACATATACACGCACACAAATCTATTTGCCTCAGAAGTAAACGAAGATACATGCCAGACGAAAAATTGAACATGTGAACAAGAGAATAATTATATAAGAATAAGTATCTTTTTTCGTCCGGAAAAGAATTAATATGAGTTAAGTTTTTTTTTTTGTTGTTTTCTGTACAACAACAACAGTCAAAATCTTTTATCTGATAGATAGAAACACAAATACAAGAGCAAGACATCAAGATATAAAGATAGAATGCTGCATATCGAATGAGGAAAACAAAACGAAAGTTAATACAATGAAGAAAACAAAAGGTATATGTATGTGAATAAATGAGTGTTCATTCTCGAAAATCAAGATTGGTTGTATCTTGTTTAGGCTCGAGCTTTTGCTTGTTGTTGTGTTGATAGTGCATACGCAGCTGAAAAATAATAAAATAAAATTTGTCTAAGATATGATTATCAATTGATATTTCTATTCATACGTGTTTGTTTGTATGCCTGCAATTCAATTTCATAACGTTCTTTAGCTTCTTTTGCTGCTTTTTCATAACGACGTTTTAAATCATCTGGTGCTGAACGCCATTTTTCTCCAATAAGTTTAGCAACATCAGCTACCGATAGTGATGCATTTACTAATTTTATTTTTGGTCGTTCATCTTGGGAAAAAATGAAAAATGCCGATAATGGACGTTTTGGTGCATTAGGATCCTTTTGCTTTTGTGTACGACGCATTTTTAGTTAATTTCTCTTTATGATTTTATTTTAAATCTAGAATAAAAGAAGACTTTTCATTTTATTTGTTTGAACTATGACAAACATATGTGTATGTATATATATATATGTATAAAATTGACAACTAAGAGAAGAACAAGGAAAAACTATACTTACTTAGCTTTGGCGGGTGTGGAAGAGGGCGACAGAAGTCGAAATAAAAGCAGCTAGCGAGTCGCTAGTTTCAATGTAAAAGTAAAGAGACGTGTATGTATGTATGTATGTGCTTTATTGCGAGTGAAGCAAGCGCTTTTGCTGTGCTTGCTTTTACTCTCTTATTCTCTCTCTCGCTGCCCATGAACTGCTGTAGCAATACACAGCTATGTTTCTTCTTTCCTTTCTCTTCCTCTTCACTTTATTGCATAGACAGCAAGCAAGCAAGCAAGCAAGCAATAGGCTGGTCGTTCTAACGTCTTTCTTTTTCTTTCTTTCTTTCTTTCTTTGTTCGCTTGCTCTTTTCGTCGACGGGCGAACGTTTGTGCACCGCTGTTTCAAGTAGCTTGTATGTGTGTATGTGTGTGTGTGGGCTTGCTTGCTCGTATCTACAGTTTTCTTTTTCTCTTTCTGCGCACATACACACACGATAGATTAGATGTTGTGTTTTGAATGGCTGTGTATATAATTGTGTATGTGTGTGCACGTAGACGACGCACAGAAAGAGAGCGTTGAGGCCGTCAATAATGTATGCTTGCATATACGTCGCTTGATTCTGCCGCCGTAGTCAAACTGCTTTTCGAGCAAGCAATAATGGTAGTGGCAGTGGCAGCTGCCATAGAACAGAGAGAAAGAGAATGAAGACGTAAATACGCTTGCGCTACAATGAATATGATAGGATGATGGATTTCTCATGACTCTAGCGGGCACTGCGCTGTGCTATCAAAAGAAAAGGGAAGAAGAAGCGAAGCATGTATTATCTAGGGCGATGGAGCTTAAGCATACACAAGATAGATCGATTCTAGCAGAATGCTGAATGGTTGATGTCAAATTATTTGTTGATTGCATGATGTTTTATTTTTTTTAATTTTTTTTGTTTTCTACAAAAAAATCTGCCATCACTGTAATTGGGAAACATTGAATGAAATGTTCTTGCTATCCACGTAGTATAGAATTCAAAAAGAAAGTTATATTATCGTGAAATGAAATTATAAATATTAACATCATCTGTCTGAAATAGACAGTTCTTTTCGTTTGTTTATAACTTTTTCTCCTAGATGATGGGGCTGATTGTAAAGAAATCCACCATTCATAACAACACCTTTTTTTGGTCTATACCAAGACCAAAATCAATGTAATTAACAAATTAATCGAAGTATTTTCTTATGTCGTTATTTTTCAACTATTCAAATAATTTTAAGATAAATCTCTAATTGATTTACATGCGATAGTCGACATAGGAAGTATACAATGATTTATTTTTTTAAGAGATTACAATGCAAGTGATTTTTAAGAAACAAAATCATTTTGTAATCAAAACAAGATTCACATTTTTTGCGTCCAAACTAAAATTGATTTATTTCGTTTGATAATAAAAGCATTGTAGACAGTTCCAAGACCTGCCATTTAGGATAGTCATTTCCTGAATTCTACTGCATGATTCAAAAAGAATTTCATTATGTGAATTCTACAAACGGAAAAAGACATTTTTTTTTATTTTTAAAAATTGTAATAATCAGTTCTATTCTTTTTTGAAACGCATGTCTCAAAAGAGAATATTTCTGTTTCAATTACTATCTATATTTGTATTAGCGTCTAAGCTACTTGAAAAAACTTACCGGAATATTATGGCTGAGAATCACTCAAGAATACTTCATCAATTTGTTAGGAAAAAAAATAGGTATATACTAGTTCTTAGCCATTGTGGGAATAGATATGAGTTTGGATTTGTGCTTGATAAAAAATTGAAACAACTATTCATTTAATTGAATGTGTGTCTACTAATGTCAAGTGAAGCATTGAAATTACTGAGTCGATAAAGAATACTAAATAGTCAGAATGCATTATAATCGAAATATTTATGAATGTTACTGAATTGGTGTTTTATATTCTGAAAGATGATCGTCGAGTTCGAGAAAATGATTAATTTAATATCATTAATAGATTCAAAATGTGTTTTCTTTTAGTTGAAAAATTTGAAATACAAAAAATGTTTTTTTCTATTATTAAAAGATTTTCTTTTAATAACATCTCTTGAAAAATCTTCTTAGATAATGCCTGATGGTGACATTCAATAGAATGAATCAACACTTCAAGTAGCACAGAAAGAGTTACATGAAGAGTATGTTGCCACAAGTGGAACTATTCGATATTTAGGAATATTCACAAATTTTCAAAGAAAAGAAAATATTAACGTTTTTGTTGTTCATGTCGAACATGAGTTTCTCTAGTCAAAGTTATTGATTCCAATGTTGACTCATTTATATGTATTATCGTTTCTGTTGCTTGTTCTTGTATATGCTCAATAAACACTAGCGTTTTGAATGAATTCATTTTTCTGCTTTTTTCAGAGCTATTCTATATATGGCTGGAAAAAGAACTAGAAATCGCTCTTCACAAAAAGACTCAGTATTTGTTAAGGTCAAAAGATTATTTTTGTAGAAAGAGAGCAACCCGAAAAAACTTACGCTAAGATCAATATTGCGAAGACTTGAATCAATCTTCAATAACAAAAAACGAGTATCTATTGTTTTTATGGCAGCTAGATGAGTTCTTTTCGAAAACCAGTTATGCGTCATTACTGTTCACAATTAGATCGTTATTGGGTCATCAATACTTCTTTTGCTTTCCAATTCATAATCTTTTATGATTATAATCACAGAAGATAATGAATGGGCAAGCAGTGTAATATTCGTAAAGGGGTTCATTTTCAAAATGCAATACTTATTTCACATTTGATGACTTAATCTTTTGAAATGTAAGAAAAGAAATTTGAACCGATTTTAACATATCAAACAAAAACATGAACCGATGATGATGTTTTAACAAATCAATATCAATCTTAAAATTATTGATTAACACTGATTTTATGTCTAAAACAACAACAAAACTTGAACTAAATATGCAATAATCACATCATATTCATACGAAAACAAAATGATTTTAAAGAATAGGAAAAAAACATTTCAAATACAAAGTCTATGTATACTTTCATGTTTCAACAATCTATCGGTGCATTAATGTAAACAAAAGATGGATCAATTGCAGTTGAAATGCATTGGCACTATATTTTTGTTCGTTTGTTTTTGAATATCTTGCTAAGCATCGATTGACTTCTGCACCGGAAACGATATTGATTGAATGAATACCTGAAACAGTTCCATCTCTCTAGAGTTTTGAACTGCCAAGACAATTTGGAGATAGAATATTTCGAGTTAGACAACAGTTCATAGAAAGAGATCCGATCATATTTAGAGTTTAGCATAGGTGTTAATATTGTAGCTGATTTCTCCGTTCCTGAGAGATAGCATAAATCATGGTGACAAGACAATAGTTTACCGGTTTTCACAGAACTTGATTAACAAATTGACTTTCAGAAAACAAGTTCCGATGATTTTGATTTTTATCTATTGGAATATACCTGCATAAAATATTGCACAGAGGTCGCTCTATACCATTATCATTGATGTATAAAAACATTTTAACAGGTCTTACTAGCGCCCCTCTAGTGTCGCCATATGCGGCAGTATCCCTCTCATAGAACATAAAACTATCCAATCAATGAATGATTTGCATAAAACAAGAAAAAAAAAGATGGGAAACAATGAAATACGTGCATTTTTCTAACTGAATTTGTTAAGCAATTCATATTCAACTTTCGCTTTTTTTTTTATTATTTAGTCATAAATAGTTTCGATTTCGTATAGAGCTGTCAAAATGGCGTTGAGTAATTTCGATGCTGAGATGTCTCGGTAAGTAATTACAAAAAAATCATTCGAAATTTCAATACTAGTTCTTTTTCATATTCTAGTTTCGAGAACGAAATCTCAAATGTTAACACGTCCAATGCACCACTAAGAATGCCCATGATGCCATCTGGTCCTCCACCACCTGGAATGTTTCCACCAATGATGCCAGGTTTACCTCCTCTTCCACCACCACCACCGGGTGTTATGGCTCAGTTACTGAATAGTAATAATAGTTCTGCTGCTCCGCCAACTCGTTTACCACCTCGACCTGCCTTCGTACCTCATCAACTTCGTCATCGTGTGCCACAACAATCTGTACCTTTTCCTTCATCATCAATGAGGTCAGCACAAATGCCTCCGTCAATGTCTCAACGAATTCCATCGCCACCACCACCACCCCAACTGCAAGGTCCCATGCCTACTCAACAACAATCTATACTTTCAGCTCAACCATTGCTTTATAAAAATCAAACAAGTAATGAAAAGCCAAGTCAACCACCTGAATCGTTGGTTCCAACTGCACAACGTCCTGTGCAAATACCAATCGTAGAGAATAAACCATCTACCTCAAAAATCGATAAACAACTATCAGTCACAAAATCTGAACCAAATCCTCATCCAGTTAGTAAAGCATATGCTGCACAAGCCATGGAAACAAATGGTAAAAAAGACATGACTCTTTTTCTATGAAAACTGCTATGTCTCTGATTTTTCTTAGATCAAGACGCTGAGGGTAGTACAACATCAAAGAAGAAAAGTAAAGCCAAACCACCGAAAAAGCCTCGTCATGTCCGTATGGCTGGTGGTACAACTTGGGAAGATGAAACACTTTGTGAATGGGATGCAGGTAATAGCCTTACTTTTTTTTTCTCTTCGGAATCAAAAATTGAATAAATATATATTTAGATGATTTTCGTTTGTTTTGTGGTGATCTTGGTAATGAAGTCAATGATGATATATTGACACGAGCTTTTAACAAATATCCATCATTTCAAAAAGCCAAAGTTGTTCGAGACAAACGATCTGGAAAAACGCGTGGATATGGTTTTATTTCATTTAAAGATTCACAAGATTATATTCGAGCTATGCGTGAAATGAATGGTAAATCTCTTCTTTTTTTAAATATATTATTATTATTGAGCTATTTCATGTCTTTTTGAATAGGTAAATATGTTGGTAATCGGCCAGTCAAATTACGTAAAAGTACATGGCAAGAACGAAATATTGATGTTGTTCGAAAGAAAATCAAAGATAAAGTTAAACTTGGACTTAGATAAACATTTGTTTTTTTCTTCTTGCTCTTGATATGTACAAAATAAAACCAATCGCAAAGCTTCGATTCTATGGTACAAATAATGATTTAGTATATGCAGAAGATAGGACATTTTCATGTAACTATCATCAAAACGTTGTAACATCTCCTAACTTCAGCTGTTGAAGTAATAATAGAATTTCGACTTGCGTCATAAAGATTTGTGCTAGACTAATTGATATTCAATGAAGTAGTATCTCCGAAGATGAATGAGAAGCAGCGGAATTTTTCAAAAGTCATAGTACTGACTTCATGGAAGGTTACTCGGAAATTTATCAAAAAGTTCTCAAGCTTATTTCATGCTGTGTAAAACAGCAGTCAATGAAATATCCTATCTATTATTGCTACTGTCACATAGAAAACAATGGAGAACATGGGTATTAGCATTGATTTTTTTTATTACAATTCATACTTCTGTAAAAAAAAAGTCTTTTTCATCTCATATTTACAAATGCCTGTATCGATATAATTAACGAAGGATATCTCCGTCTTCTAATACTTAGAAATTTTCTTTTTTCAAAGGGTTTTCAATAAGTAGTACCACATATCGAATTACATCGATGAAAACGTTATAGTATAAAATATCAATCTATATTTCTCTTGAATAAACATATTTCATAATGAATATTATTCTTTTTTTGCATAAGATGCTTAGAAATTTTCCCCTCTTTTAAACAACCTATGATTAATATTTGTAAATGAAATTAGGTGAGAAACGAAGGAACACTTACGAAATAAATTATCTTTATTTAAATGTATTCGCCAAGAAATATCTTAGTTCGGTGAATTCATTCTAAACAATGACAAATTTATTGCATGTGAGTTTCTCATTTTTTTTTCTCATCTAATTTTAGTTACGATTATGTGACAAATATAAGCCATGTATTATTCAAAAACAAAAAAAAAAGAAATTTCCTTATTATTTGAATGAAAAATATTGTTCATTGCGGAACTTGTCTATCGAAGTGAAAAATATGAGCTGATCTTTTGTGTCATAATGATTTCAATAATGAAAATAATCATAGGAAATTCCTCATACGACTATGGTTGATTTCGTTCCTAGATGAATGTCAATGTTATAATCGTATTAACTGAAATACTATCAGCCGATCAGAATTCATCAATAAGAACCTGAATCTTTCATCTAGCTAAAAATAAATCGTAATTTAAGTACGAATTTATAGAGTCTGCCGGATCCGACAATGAACGTACTCTTAACTTTGACGCTGACATGTGTTAAACTAAGTGCTAGGAACAAAAGCCTCTAAACTATAATTTCATTTAATAGAACAAATTTTACATTTTATATACAACAACTATTCTCTTTCATTTACAACAAACTATCTAGAGTCTTATCATCGACAATGAGAAGTAATAAAAGAATAATACCTTTTTTTGTTTTCGATATTATTCTTTATCGATAAACATTTCTAATTATTCATACTCTATGAATAACACTTACGCATTCAAGTATTTATTGCATCTCTCATTTTAAAGTTACAATATTTATTTTCTTGATCTCATAAGCATCAAATGTAGACGGAAAAGTTTATATAATTATCTGAACTTGATGAAAAGAAAATTCAGGTATAATATTAATCGGAGGTCGATGAATTATTTCTTTTATCAATCGACAGATATTCATAAACATCACTTCCTTTTCACAATCGAACAAAAGACATACTCAATTCTAGTAGATGTGTAATGAATATTTGCAAGATAACAAATAAAAAAGAAAAAGAAAATTTTCTGCCTTAGGAATGTACGTTGATTATTTTTAACGACTTAAATTGGCAAGGAAAAAAATTCACTTGCTTATCTATCAACAAGTCAACATCATTAACTTAAATTATATGTTTTCTACCGCGTAAAGAAAGGCAATCGATATTTCAAGCTGTTTGAGAAAAAACTTTTCTTGTCGTGTGGAAATTTGTCACGTTTCGAATCTCGCGAGATCAACGAAAGACGTGCAAAGTCTCCAAACGACAAAAACGATGATGATTTTTTCTTTCTGTTTTTTTTTGCTGAAATATTTTTTCGATATTCCCATTAGGAATGTTATTGAATAAAATATTAATTATTCGAAATAAATGAGACTTATTATTTATCCAGGTAAAACAATTTCGATTTGACATAATTCGAATATTTGTACGAAAACAAAACAGTTTATACTAAATTAGGCATTTAGTAGATGCCTATGCACTAATTGAAATACAGATAAAATCAAGTGCAATTATCAATTAGTCTATACATAGAGAAAAAATTAGCGAGAGTATGATTCTAATTTCAATTACAACATAATTTATCTGCGAAATATTGGATAATTGAAGAGAATGACATAATATGTATGTCTTTTGTTTGTAGTTTCTAAACTAATCAAAAAGCTATTCATAGATGTACTTGATGATTTCCTAAACATTATCTATTGGAATATAGAACTCTTTGAAATATTTTTACGAAATTATTTTATTGTATGTGTGTATATGTAACACGTTCGTTTTCTTTCTTTTGTAATGTATGCAGGTTTTTTCCCGCTTTTTGTTTTCTACATGAGACATACGATGCCGACGACATACAAATAGACAAAAGAATCAGACGAACAGTTGAAGAAGAAAATGAACAAACAGCTAATGAGAAAAAACTGATTACAACCAACACACACACACACACACACACACAAAAGAAGAAAAAAAGAAAGTTTGACATTGACAAACAAATAAAAATATAAAGAGAGAAAAAAAGAGCATAAGTTGATAGTAATGTTAATAGAGAAAAAGAAGAAGTCTTTTCTTGTTTTTATTTAAAGTTCTTTGTCAATTTGGCATGATGACCGGTTGTGTGTATGTGTGTTGTACACAGACAAAAAAGAGAAAATATTACGAAACAATTACTGGTGTTCATCAGCTGGAGTTGGATCATCTGGATCAGGAGCATCGCTTGTCCATAACTAAATTAAATGAAAATTTATTTTCATCAACAAATAAATAGTGCAATATTCTTACTGTAAGATTATCTCGGAGTAATTGCATGATAAGTGTACTATCTATTAAATAGATTAAATTAAATGATTTTCTTCTTCTCTCTCATTATCTATTTAAATGACTAACCCTTGTATGAGTCTTCGTTGAGCGTATCGAGTTCAGCAATAGCATCATCGAAAGCTTGTTTAGCCAAATGGCAAGCGCGATCAGGTGCATTGAGAATTTCATAGTAGAATACGGAAAAGTTCAAAGCAAGACCAAGACGAATTGGATGTGTTGGTTGCATTTGACCTTTAGCAATATCGAAAGCATCATTATATGCACGTTGTGATTCATCGATAACTTCTACAAAAGCAGATAGTAGGAAATAATTTTCTTGGTTAGTTTTTTCTATTATATTTTTGCAGAAACATACTTTGACGTTCGTCGCCTATTGCAACTTCAGCTAAATATCGATAATAATCGCCTTTCATTTTTAAATAGAATACTTTCGATTCAGCTGTTGTTGCTTTTGGAATGAGAAATTTGTCAAGTAAAGTCTAGAAATATCAAATAGAATAAATGAATAAAAAAACCCAGAAACTTGATATATTTATTGATATTTACCAAAACTTCTTGGCAAATATCTTTCAATTCCTTTTCAATTTTTTCACGATATTCCTTCGACATTTGTTGTTTTCGTTCTGAACCTTCAGTTTTTTGTTCAATACTTGAAATAACACGCCATGATGAACGACGTGCACCAACAACATTCTTATATGCAACCGAAAGTAAATTACGTTCTTCATTTGTCAATTCATTGTTTGATTCAGTAACCTTTTTCATAGCATTAGCCATGTCATCATATCTAAATATTTGATTTTTGATTAAAATAAAAACACTCATTCAAATCAACAATAATATCATACCGTTCGGCTTGTTCAGCCAACTTGGCACGTTGTACTTCTTCATCCTTGGTGGCCATAATTATTAATTGCTTTGGCTTGATAAGAAAGAAAGTTTACTAATGAACCGAGACAAATAGATCTGTAAAATAGGACAACTGGAAATAAATCGGTTATATATATGCGAAAATTTTGTCAGATGAGAAAGGGGGAGAGAATGAAAGAGAGAGAAAGAGCAGGAAAAAATACATTGTACAATTGAGAAAGTTCGATGCATGCCCGTTCTGAGAATGCGTCAGACAGAGAAGGCGTAGGCATAGGGCAAGGATGTTTGTATGTGAGCAAAAGATAGACTAAAGTATTTATTTGCTTCTCTTTCTCTCTTCTCTCTGCCTCTCTCGCTCGGACGCATAAATCGGCTGTTGTAGCGAGCAAGTAGCGCAAGGCATAGAGAGGATAGAACGCTCGTATCTATTAGTCACTCGAACGAACAGAACGAGCATCGGACGGCGAACATTTCATATTGTGCGAGGCAGCGTCATTGCTTAGCAACCGGTGAGACAGAAATAAAGAAAATTATTTTTTCTTTCTCAATAGATGGCGCTTCTTGTGGAATTCTTATTGTCGAAAAAGACGTATCATTATGATGATGATTCCTAAGGGTGTATATTGAACAACTCGTATAAAATTAAATATATTTTTTTCTTTTTATCTCTTCTTATTCATCTTTAGTTGCAACCGGATATGAGTGCTTAACTTCAAAGAAGTTCTTCATTGAAAAGTAAAAAAATACCAACAAGACCCTAGATGATTCAAAGGAGAAAAAACTGCTCAATTGAAATTCATTTCGTTCAGTTTTTCTGCTCACTAAATTTCATTATTATAATCCTATTGTTGATCGATCATCTTTTATATAACTCTGTTTTCTAATTGAGTTGACTTTGTGGTTGTATTTAAATCTGTTATGAACTTGATTTGCTTCAATTCACGTCTGAATAAGTTTTTAGCTAATACGATGCATAAAGCATAAAATTATTTTTTGCATAGACAAACATATTTTCCAGTCGTTGTTCATGCATAAACAATCTTTCTTATGCTCATTAATATTCAAGATCAAATAGATACAAATTTCCTTGTTTTAGTTTTTACGAAAATAAAGTCATCATATTAGATAAGTAATTATTGGTTCGATTTAAAAAATAACGAATATTTGAATTACAAAGTTAAAGATTGATTTGTTTTTATCTAGGTATGATAAAAGAAAATGCTTTTATAAGCACTGTAAATATGAACCTTGATGAATTAGGCTAAAGAAGAAGAAGAAGATTCCTGTAGTAGCAACGTATTTATGATATCAAAGGAGATCATTAATAATAGTCATCGATAAGTAAATGATTAATTATGAATGATGGTATATCCGTCAATTTTCGATTTTCCTTTTCCTTTCTTCTTTCTTCAAGTATAATTTGCACTTCACTTCGTTCTGTTTTTTATTTTATATTCTCAAGTTTCTTTTCTTTGGGTCAAATGATACTTTAAAAGGTCTGAAGTGAACAAGCTCGATTTATTGCATCGAAAAAATGAGTATTCTGTATATATATATATATATATATATATATATATGTTAGCGTTGACTTTAGAATTCAGTTGACTTGAAAATATTTCTGAATAGTTGGAAAGAGAAAAAAGAAATATTTCGATTTGTTGTAAAGTCAACTCCGACATATATGTATGTTTGGAATGATTATGCTTTATTTTCTATTTATATCATAGCCGTAAACATGCAAAGAACGGAAATGAAATTACATAGTATTAGATTGCTCTAAATAATAAGAAAAGAATTCTTCTGTCACTTTTGATTAAAGCAAATTCTATGAGAATATTAGCTTTTCTTCATGAGTACAAAAAATAAATGTCAATTTATTTGTTTATATACATGCATGTTCTTTGTTTTTCATGTTTTTTCACCTGAAAGTCTATTTTTAGAACAGTGTGTGAGATTTACGTCTACTATTCTAAAAAAAATGCATATTAACCTAATCTTTCATTCAATTGAGAAAAAACAGTGAATAAGAAAAATGATTAAGGTTTGCAAAAAAAATGAACGAGTTAATCTAAATACAGCTTGCTAAATCAAACGACTAGACAAAATATAAGAAAGCACGATATCTTATTCGTTATACTTGATGTCATGGTGAGCTCCGTTTTTCATGTCAAATTTTAATTATGGATAATTAATAATGTTCTGAAAGAAAATTTACAGTCAAATAATACTTTCGAAGAATTTCTTAATTGTGTAACAATGATCTTATCTCGCATCGGTAACGATAAACTAATAAATGAATTTTATTTTTCGTCTCGTGTAAATTTATTTTTCATATAACAACAACCCAAAAAAATCTATAGACAGTTGTCAACTGTTAGGTTGTTCTTTGCTCAGAGAAGAGAAAAAAAAACAAAACAAGTTTTAGTAACGAAATTTTCAAAGACAAAAAAAAACTATAACAGTTAGAAAAAAAGCGACGAAAGTTTTGTTAACTGTCATAAGTTTCGATAAATGATAAATTGGAGAAAAAACAGTTTTTCTTTTCACTGAAGCCAAAACAAACAAGTTAAAGAATGTCATTGTAGAAGAAGAAGAAGAAAAAAGAAGAAAAAGAATCATATATCACAGATTAATCCGATGATATCGAAGTATTTGTTTCGTCTGTTATTGTTGTATTTGTTGCTGATGAATCATATTCACCTAAATCAATTGCTTGATTATTTGATGATGGTACTACCGAATTATTTTCGCTTGCATCTATTATATCATTGGGTTGGGTATTATTTTCCATTTGTGGAACATCAATTTCTGATGTTTTTTGTTCATCGATATTTGCTGGAGCAGGTGAATCCGGTACTATTATTTCGTTGTTATTTGAACCTTGCTAAAATATAGAATAAAAATGGTAGTTGAAAACAGTTAATCTGAATAAATAGCTAGAATTTGCGTGTTTTACTACTGAAGAAGATAAAAAAAAAAGACATCGATATTTTGTATGGAAAGAAAAATACTGCTTTGGTCGAGGTTGTTTCAAGTTTATAATACAACAGACGTATTTCAAGATCTGTTTTTTTCGACCCAAGGGGGAAGGAGGCGGATGTTTGGGATTTTGAGAATCCCAAAATTGAAAAGCATTTTCCCCCTCTCTGAATGACGTAGTTTTGATCTGAAATTCTTCCCATAGATAGGTTTCATGCTTGATCGAAGATCCTAAAAGTTTCAACTCGAACAAATGTTTTATTCTTAAAATATTGAATTTTCTGACCGTGCCATGAAATCAGCATTTCTTGCGCATTCATTATCTTGAGAAGGAAAAGTACGTTTGCGCTGAAAATTTTAGAATATTCGAAGGGGTATGAGACTTACACATGAAAAAAATTTCAGATGAAAACTCCACCATTCGCGTTTTGTATTCTTGGATTTTCAAAGTCCCAAATCCGTCTTTTCCCCTTGTTTCAATCACTCTTTGATACTTTTAAGAGATTATACCTATCCCGGAGATACTTTTCTCCAAGTTTTACAGTTTTCAGTGACTAGTACGTTCTACGCATTTGTTTAGATGACTTCAGTCAGGCAAAGAAATACTGCAAGTTTTCAGCAGTAATTCACAGTGGATCAGTCTAGTATATATATATTTACTTTATTATTATTTTAAAATGGATGTTACGATACAAAATGAAGCATATTTTTATTATCTAAAAGCTTATTTTTTATTGATGAAAAGAGAAAGAAATTCTATATCCCAAAAATAGAGATCTATTTATAGAATTATTGTTTTAATAAATAGTAATAAGATTGATGCTTTATATAATTTGTGATATTATTGCGTTTTGTATCTTGATAGACTTATTCAGATTCAAATTAATTATTGACTATTAAATTCCTTTGTGAATTCTTCGATGCACTATCAGAAAACACAAGGAGAGAAAAAAATGAAAAGAATTTTCTGAACAGAAATAATTTATCTTAAACTTTGAAAAAGCTTAATCAGGCATCTTTACGATACAGTGAACCAAACATTTGCAGAGTAACTTCATAAAAGTCATATTTACAGAGAAAAAGCATTGGATTACGCAACATCTTATTTCGAACTATCATTTGAATTCTTCTAACAAAAACTCGATTGCATTAACAGATTTCTCATACACAGGAAGGATCCCAAGTAAACAATGTTAAGTTGAAATAATAATCTGTACATCAACAACGAAAATACATGGATGAAAGCTTCTCAACACTCAAACGAGAAGAACTCGAGACATGATTTTTATGAAGATGGTGAGCGTTTCCTTCTATAGTTTGACATATCAACATATTTCGAGTTCGTATCTTTCTATTATTGAAAACTACCGGCCATTAGCTATTGACATTGTTAAGATGGTATGTATTTCCCATGTAGTAAAGCATGGATATCAGAGTTGTTTGAATTTGAATACAATTGGATTGCAGTTTTGAACTCATTAACTTGAAATATTTGATTATAGGATAGCATTCATATCTAATGAGTTAGACTATAGAATATTTTGTATTGCTTCTGGTTTCATGTATATATTTATTTTAAGCGCATTGAATTCAGAATTCAATCTTCTCAATTGAAAGTAGTTTGTAGTGAAACAAAAATCTGTTCTTTTATGTTGACTACGACACTAATGATATATATGAAATTACTTCTTCTTTTACCCTCGCGCACACTGATTATTGGAAACAATGAAATACTATAATTAATTCATTTTTTAGCTGTGCTTACTGGATGCTGAGGAAGAATCTGACATTTTAAAACATTGAACCTCTCGTTTACATAACACTTCGTCTTCTCGTAGTGAAATACTAAATGAAATTTTCATCACTTATGCAATAGTGTGAGTATAGAAAGTGTTGGTAATTCCGAGAATTTGATTATAAACATGTTTGATATTCTCTGATCATGAATTTTAAAATTACTTTTAACAAGTCTTAGAGAAAAGGTAAATACGCTATAACGGATGGTTCTCAGTATTTATCCAATATGATAACAGAAATTTTTTAAAATTGTGTAGTCAAAGATTGCAAAACGAATATTACATGTAAAAATCTAATGAACAATTGAAGTTTTGTCTTGAAATAATTTTCTTTGCCAATCATTTCGAAAGCTCAAGAGACAATACTGATTTTTTCTTTCGTCGAAACTCATTTATTAATTTCCAATAAATAAAAACAACGTCATACCGTATTTTCGTTATCCAGAATATTATCATCACTCGATAAATAATGATCATTAATAGTATCATTATTTTCTCTTGTAAGTTTTACGAGCCACACTTGATAATTTTCATCGTTTTCAATATCAACTGTTACACATTCTGTTGTTGGAATATTTTTAATAATATCATTGATAACTTTTATTTGATTGCTATCATCAATACCATACAATCGGCATTGGTGTGCTAATGGTAATTGTTCTAAAATTGTAATATCAGATAACACAAACAAATGACCATCGTCTATGTTCTCTAATGTATTTCCATAGTCAATACATTTAACATGATATTTATTATCGTCAATAGCAAGAATTTGCCCACGATAAAATTGTTCTTGATCATTTGAAACAATGCATCGATCATTAATTGCCCAAATATGTTTACGTTGTTTATCGCATGCTTTTAAATATTCTTCTAATTCACATACACGTAAATTATCATCAGGTAAGATATGAATATAGAAAGAATCTTTATCTGTTGCTGATATATTGGCTGTAAAACGTTTTGCTTGTTCAATTATTGATGATTCAATGTGTTCAACATATTCTTGGACATGGCCCGCATAGATAGCATCATCAAATTCAATATCTATTATAGAATTGTTTTCATCTATAATAGTAAATTCAATGCTATCGTTTAATTTCTCTTCTATTATTGGCTGAATAGTATTGGTCCATGTTTCAATTGTAACTTGATTCAATAAATATCCTCGTATAAGCGGTTTGATTTTTTCTAATTCGTCTGAATATGAATATAAATGATCGACTGTAACATTTTCATCGAGATTTCCATAATCAAGAAAATAAACTGTATATAAATTTGATGTTGATGAATACGATTCAATTCTAGCACGATAATACTCATCATCTTCACTAAATTTTGCAACAACATGATCCCCAATAGCATACGACGAATTATGTAACTTTTCTACCACGATTTTATCGATTAATTGATGGATTCGTTCAAGTATTGGAACCGATTCAGGTAATAATTGAAGATAAATATATGGCTTATCCATTTCCATATGAGTTAAAAGGCCTGTACGACATTGCGGTTCTAAAGAGAGATAATATACATAGTATTTTGTTTTTGAAATCTATCGAGATTTGCTCTATAGAAAAAATAATCGAAATCGAGTTTCCCGATGATACAAATCAATCAGGAGCTGCTTGTAAAATGTATACTATACAAGGAAAGTTCGATATAACATTGATTCGAATCAATATTATTATACGAAGATCAATTGAAGTCTTCTCTTCCAGCTTATATCTACAAGTAATGTGCTCAAGTCTAGACAAAGACTGTACGAGTCGATAGATTTTTCTATTGAAAAATTAAAAGCATCAAAGGAAAGTGAAAGTCAAAAGTGGGCCTCTTCGAAATTCCATACTCAAACAATGGTTGTTCAGTAATAATGAGGTCACAGTTCTACTGAAATTTTAGAGATTTCAATGAAGAAAATTGATTTGAAAATGCTTACAATTAAGATTGAAAATTAGTGAAGTTGAATTCTTTTTTACATAGTTTCGAACATCCTCAAGGTTTTCAATTTATTTTGAAAATTTTAAACAGAATTAAACATTTTATCTAGTTAAATTGCTTCTTCTGTTAAGAAAAGAGAAATTTCACTATTTTTAATTTAATCCAAACCGTTTATCAGGTGGTAGCGCAGTCTTAAGACTTATCTAGAGTAATACAAGATATCGAGCATAAGATTTTCTTTCAAATAACAAGGAATTTCATCGAAAAAAGTAGTGACCTCTTAATATAAATGTAATTTTCTCGCATACCTTCTTCTTTTGGTTCATTACTGTCAGATTTTGCAGGTTCTAGAATTTCATTCTGTGATAAAGCATCATCATTGGTTGACTGTTCCACAACCGATGGTGGTCGTTCCACAACCGATGGTGGTTGTTCCACAACCGATGGTGGTCGTTCCACAACCGATGGTGGTTGTTCCACAGCCGATGGTGGTTGTTCCACAGCCGATGGTGGTTGTTCCACAACCGATGGTGGTTGTTCCACAACCGATGGTGGTTGTTCCACAACCGATGGTGGTTGTTCCACAACCGATGGTGGTTGTTCCACGACCGATGGTGGTTGTTCGATAGTCAATGGTATTTGTGGTTGTTCTTGCTCGTTAACGGTTGTAGTAGTTGCTTGATCGCCAATGTTAACATTGGTATCACTCGTTTCAATTGCATTCAGATCACAACCAAATTTTTCATTAACACATATATTATCAGCATAAAGAAGAACATTAGATAAAAGATCTTTTTCCTTAACAATAGAAATCTCAAGATTTTCTGAATCGGAAACATCTTGAAGATATGTAAATGCATCATCGATTTTATCTGGTAATATACCATACAATTGGCATCGTTTACTTTGATTCGGATATGAACTTAACTGTTTACTACATTGTTTTAATGATGTTTTTGGGCATGAATTTGTATTACCAAAATCTACATAGCAAACAATAACATTATCAGCTGATTCATCCGATTGTATAACAGCACGATAGAATTCGTCTTCAAATTGAGCAATAACGATTGTTTCTGGTGGTAGTTGTTTAACTTCATCAAGTGATAATACTGAACTATTCGGTTCTTCAACGAGAATCTGCTCAGCGATTTTGTCAGCTGTTTCTTTATCATCTTGAATGAAAAATTGATGTTGACCAGATTCAATATGAACAATAAGGCATGGTATACGTTTTAATGTTGTTACAGGTTTTAATCTGAACGAGAAGAAAAACAAGAATTTTTCAATTAAAATAAAAAATAAAATCTAAGATTATTTACTTTATTGCATTTATGTCAAGTAGAACTTTAAGAAAATCATCTGAATTAAGAATAAATTTGTTGCCAGAAAGTTTTCCTTTAATTTTTCCATTAAAAGTTTTGCCACTGCATTGATCTTTAAGATTCTCTATATTTACATTGTTAAGAGCTAAGAAATGAAATAAAATATGAGAGATTTTTTCTATCATTTAAATCCGTACTTTGAATATTCTCAAATGTGCATTGATAAGCATAAGGAGCTGCTGAACAATGTTTTTTTGCTAATGGTTTAATCGTTTTTAAATTCACTTCAGCTGTATCACCAAAATCGACAAAACGAATTTTTAATGCATTTGAACCAGGTACAAGAACAGTAGCTATAAATAAATTAAAATAAAATCTTAACAATGAACGTTAGATTATCGATCGGGATGGAAACTGAAGAGAAAACATTACCAATTAATCAATCATATGTATGAAATCAATCATTCGATTGATCACGATGATACAATTGCTTTTTTATTACCTTTCCGATTATTAATTTATGGATGCTTTAGTTAATTTTACCGTATGAACATAGAATAAGTACTGTGGCAAGGCTATATTCATTCTAGTTCAGGGTTTGGGTTATTTTTAGTGATAACAGAATTGTTTAGAATGCTTCAACGTAAATCAGAAAACGACGCTCAAATGAATCTTTTTTTCTAAATATGTTTTATAGAGATTGATGAATACAGAGCTGTCTCTTATATTCAATAAAAAAGAGTGAGTTTTCTTGGGAATGATGATAAGTTCACTGCAAAACAAAACAATGGATTGGATATCTTACCTCGATACCAACAACCATCAGTACTTTTAGCTAAACATGCTTGACCAATTTTAAATGAACTTAAAGTTGCTTCTGGTGCTGCACCATATTCATTTTGTAATGTTTCACTTAATTTTAATATTTCATCACCTTTATTTAATAGTTGAATAAAAAAATCATTTGCCGTTTCAATATGACTAATGACAAATGTAAACACCTCTTTGGGCAAATCATGCTCAATAAATTTATCACCGGCTTCAAAATTATTTAGCACAGGTTGTGTAATGCCCATGCCACCAAATGGTTTTGCTGAATTACTCGAATCAGAACTTAATCGTAATCCAATATTATCACGATCTCGTAAATTACCACGTCCACCACGGCTATTGCTAAATCCATCTAGAATGAAAATAATGAAGAAAAAATAAATACAGAAGAAATAGTTCTCAAGTTTACCTCCACGATAACTACCACGATCACCTCGTCGGCCAAAATCTCCACGATCTCTATTGCCTTCTTGATCTCGACGATTTTGAAATCCGCCACGACTATTACTAAAATTTTGTGATTGATGCATATTATTGTCATTACGATCATCATCTTGATTTCGATTATAACTATTCCGATCAGAAAAATTTCCACCGCGACCTTTCATTAAAATGAAACAAAAATTTGTCATTGCAGAAAATCAACAAAAAATGAAATACTTACCACGCCCATCAGCAGAACCTCGACCACGCCCTTTTTGAAATTAAAATAAATAGATAGAATATTATTAAGATACTACTTACTAGGAAATGATCCTGACGATTGTGAATTATGATCATTGTTGTTGTCATTCGTTCGGCTCACTTGACGATCATTAAAATTACCTCGACCTTGTGAAATCAAATAAAAACAAAAGCAACTTAAAATATTAACATTAATTTTTTTTCCTAAGTTATTTCAAGCGAAAACTTGATTTGACAAGTTTCGATACCAAGTAGTACTCAGCGAAAGCGTAGGTGGGCCGGTTTTATACGTCATTTTCAGTAAAATATGTGTATTATCAAAAGGGTCTATTACAGATTTATCGCAGTAGAAAATATTTTCGAATTTCGATCTTTCATCATAGCCAATAAATTTGAGCAGTTGCGAAAGTACCCACTGCTAGGTTAAAAGCACTGAAGTGATGCATTCAATAGTGCCCGATCTCTTTTTCTAACTTTGAACAAAGGCAAGATCTATGTGAAAGTCATTTTTAGAGCCTGAAGAAATTCTATTAATTTGCAAAGTAAAAACGTTTCATCATGAAACAATCTTTTTGTTTGATGATTTACCTCTTCGATCAACAAAACCAGAACCACGATTACTGAAACCGGCATCTTGTCGAAAATTATTTTCGTTTGTTCGATCATCATGTCTTTGAAAATGATTTCCATCCATTGGTTTTTCATGACGATTATCATGAGAAAAATTCCCTCCTAAAAATGACGAACAATGATTTTATAATTATTTTTTCCATCGACTTCTAATCATTAATTTGTTTACCAAATGTTCGCCGTTGCTCAGATGAAGCTGGCTGTTGATTATCATGTGGCATTGACGATAAACGATTTTGATTACTTGGTATTGACACTTTATCATCAGTCGGTCTTTGAACATTAACATGATGAAATGAGTCTGATTGTTGTCGCCCGTATGATTGCTGATTCGGCAGTGCATCGCTAGTGCCAAAATTTGTCTTATTATTTTGTTCTTTATTCCACATTGAATTCGATGCAGTTGAATCAGCTGTTTGCGAATACTGTTGAATATTACGATTGTGTGCATTTGAAAAACGTGGTATTTGTGCTTTTGTTGAAGATAAAACAGACGCGGTTGAATCTGTCGTTGATGAAAATCGACCAGGTTGTGAGCGTGGAGCTCCTGACATCATGTTGGATGATGTTGGTAAATTTCCATTAGATCTCTGACTAAAAGGCGCCCGTTCCGTTGAATCTTGGTTATTTTTCGGATGATGTCTCAATGAATTACTGAATACTTGTGATCTAAATTATACCGCTATGATTTACATAAGGACACAGAAGAAGATATTATTTACTCGATAACTGCATGCTGTGGTTTATTAAAACCAGGTCGATCATTCGGAAGTAATGGTGGACTCTGAACACAAAAAAATGAAGAAATATAAAATTAAAAATCAAATATTTACTAATAAAGTTGTATCGTTTGGAAAAAGTAACCTATTAACCCATTGGTTGTCAGCTAATACAACATCTACAGGATAAGTTCCATTAATTATTGAGCCCTTTACAATTATCCGAACACGTTGATTAAGTATTAATCTCTTCAAATTACGAGTCATAAGAGATGAATTTTGCTAAAAAAGGTAGAGCGAATCTGTATACAATGAAAATGGCGATCGATTTTTATTTTACCGATTCATCATAGCCACGTAAACGAAATCGTTGAGCAAAAGGTGGCGTTGCAACAAACGTAGGATTGATTTGTAATAGTTCTGTCGTATCAACAATAATTTCATCACCACGATCAATAAGTGTAACTAATATTCGTGTATCACTTTCATGATGTCTAATTAATGAAAGGAATAACAAATTTTCATGTTTTGTTCTAATTGTAAATTTACTTTGTTAAAACACGATAATATTTATCACCTTGTTGTACAACATAATACGAATTTTCCTTTGGGACATATACAGTAAATGATTGGTCATTAACAGAATTATTATAAAATTCTTCTAAATGCTTATTAAGACCTTCTAAATCATGTTCACGCATTTGAGAAACGCCATAAAATTCGGCAGCACTATGAACTTGTGTGATTGTATAACTTCCATCCGCTAAAATCGAAATAGAAAAAATACAATAAGCGAAAAGAGACGAGAATTGAAACGTACGAGGTGGTATTGGAGGAAATGGTGCTGTTGGAGCGGCGATAGATCTGAAATAATAAAAACAATTTAATCTATTGATTAATTAGAAGTTAATGATAAAATATGCAATTTATGATTAATACTATTCAAAAAGTAATATTTTATAATTCTATTTGTTATTTTTAGAAAAATCGGACCGTGAGCTTATTAATTGTATCAGTGTGGTGTTTTAACTGAGAAAATCTCAATTTAAAATTTTATATCATAGGTTCACACTGAACCAGATTTTACACCGAATCCTTTATTTTGAACATAGTTCTTTTTTATTACCACTTCAATATACACTAGATGTATGAGAATCTCTACATGATACATGCAGCCTGGCTTATAATGCAATTAGTTAGCGTCGGGACTTTCTTCATTAGTTTATTCATTTATCTAACATTGATAATCAAAAATCTGTCACATGACGAAATGTATCCAAAACAAAGAACGAGAAAAAAAACTTTCTCTTTAAATTATAGTTTTACTGATTTTCATTGATAAAAAAAAGAATTGAATCCATTGGTTTCTATGATATCTGAATATCTAAAATCTGTACTGTCATAAGAAGCTTTCGTATTTAATCAAAGAAATTAAATTAGAGTTAAAATTTACGATTTTAACTTACACTGTACTAGGCGAATGTTGAACAGTAGTACTTGACGATCCAGTATTTAACATACGCGTCTGTGGTTGTTGAGCCGAATTATTTGGATTATTGTAATATTCATTTGGTTGTGTAGCTCTCGGTGCCTGTGGTCTAAAAGGAGTCAATCCTGATGAACCAAGTTGTGCTCGTACAAATGAATGTTGCATCGGTTGGCCCGAACTGAAGTTCGCACGTGGATTGTTATGCATCTGTTGACGAGAAACCAGATTGTTATCTGATAAGAATTTTCCAAGATCCCCTAGTTCTAAAATAAGACAAAAAAAAACGGAATTTTCCTTGCATTTATTTGTTTTTCTTCGCAAAATTGAAACCACTACGCGGTCACATATTGAATATGTAAACATCGAAAAATAATGCTTTTCTATTCTCTTTTCATTCCAAAGAATAATATAGCATACGGAATCCATAAGAAGAAAAAAGAAAAGAAAGAAGGAGAAAAGAAATTCTTAAACCAAAACTATGGAAATAGTTTTACCCAGTACTTCAAATATCCTAGATAAATAACGAAACCAATACAATTTAAAAATTCGAGCTATATAACAGATGGCGTTACTAATTGGAGAAACCTCTATACTTTTGAAGGTTTCAAAAACTGAGGTGAAAGATTCATGCATGCTGTCTAAAATATAATATTTTGCGGTGTAACACAAATTATTTCTCTGGCAAAAGCCTAGAGTAATTACATTCATAAACATCGTGATTTTCTTTGTTAACAGTCATTGATGACGAGGGATGACAATTTATAAAAGGAAAAATTCAGTTCTACGTAACTAAATTTCTAGGCATTCGAATTTGAAAGCAGCATATAGTGTACTTATCCTAGAAATTGTTTTTAGAGGCCGATTTAAATCGAATTGTGTATACAACTATTTCATCGATGCATATGGCTAAGTCGAATATCAATAGTAAACTTCTCTATGGTAACTTACTTGGAATATCAATTTCAACATCATAAATAACTTGATCCTGGTTTCCAATGACAGTACAAGTAACATTATTAACCATGCGTCCATTAAATTCACCATGTACGCGATCGTCTGATTGCCATTGTGATTGATCATTGCTATTACTAGAATATACCTTATACAGACGACATGGAATAGCCAAAGCTGGTTTAAATTGAAATTCTTCGGGTAGCAAACGAATACTATTTATTGAAGTATACTGTCTTTGACCAAGATCAATATAGTAAACAGCAATTTTCATCAAGTTCGAATTTAAATCTATAAGGAAAGTTTTAAAAAACGAAAAGTTTTCTTTCATATCAAACCCATTATAACAGCACGGTGCCATATAGTATGATTGTCTTGTGCAGCAACTGGTTGATATTTAGTTGGCGATGATATTGGTCGACTATTTTGCACAGCTTGTTGTAAGTCTTTTTGTAACTAATCAAATAGAAATATTCATTTTTGACAACAAGGAAAGAAAATTTGATATTTACAGCTTTATATGAATTCATATTATCTCGAAGATAAACATAGAAATGACTAGGATTGATGTAATAGAGCAAACGAATTTGATTTGGTTGATTACAATCTAATTTTTCAAATGGAATGCCTACAAAAAAAATCAAATTCATAAATTTTAATAATAAATAAACCTGTTTTCAATCACATACATTTATAGAGAAATTTATCATTTGTCGGTAATATTAATCGTTGTATTTGATGATGCTCTATGTGATAGAAAAGATTTCAATATGGAAAAATTCTTCAGTCTATGTTTTGAATCTTACGGAAATCAGTATTTAATGATGTTTTCGATGTTTTTTCTGTTATTTCAACTTCTAGCATATCTCTTACTTCATTATAGTTCATGAATTTTGCATAAAGAAATGTTGTTGATAATCTTGAACAAAATTCTTCAATGGCATCTAATGGCCAACCATCTAACGGCTTAATTAAATTTGCTAACGAACAATGAAACGCTAAACCAGGTTGTACTGTAAAATTTTTCTATTTAATAAAATATATCTTTAATAAAATCGAACAAATTCTTTCAAAATGTTATACGTGTAATGGTTGAAGAAATTGTGTAGGTGTATATTGTACATCGCCATAATCTATTTTAAACACCGCTGCAGTACCATTTGAATCTATGTGACGTATCAGTCCACGATACCAATCTTGACTATGTGATGGACACACACAATAATCACCTATACTAAATGTTTCATTGATTCCTAAAGGCTGTTTCCTACACAAAAAACAAACGTGCATTCCAGATCAATTAAAAGACAAATAAAAATATTAAATACGTTAGTGACTCGGAATATTCATCATAAAGATCTTGACCAAGTTTAAGAAGTGAATCACGATGTAATTCAGAATGTAGATAAAAATCTAGAAGAAAAAATTGCATAAATCAAACCAAAAGAAAACAAAAACAACTACAAACCATTTAAATCATTAACATGAGCAACAAAAACTCTTTCAGTTGAGCCAATATGATGATTCACAGTGGGAATATCCAGTTTTTCCATGATTACAATAAATTATTGTAACAAATAGTTATTGAATTACTAATCAAACCATAAACAAGCAGCAAAATAGCTAACCACGTGTATTTGTATGTGATCGAAAAGAAAAGAAAGTGAATGAGCTACAAGCGCCACAATCGAATTAGTCATCATATTGGTCCTGACACGTGCTAGACTATACAACAAATTTGAATGAAAACTAAATTTTATATTATTCTTATAGAGAGAGAGAGAGAGAGAGAGAGAGGAATTTCTTCAAATATATTTTGAACGATATAAAAAGCTTTTCAAATAACACAACCCAATTTTCGAGGAGGACGAAAAAAGCATTTCATTTGGTGTTATGTATTTGCTGATAACAGTATATGTTTATTCGACGTTTTGTACACAGATAAGGGTACACGTCTTTTTATATTAAAGCACAACCGGATATCGATGCTAGAGATTTATTTTCATAAATTCTCTATGTGTGAACAAGTGAAAAATTGAAGTATTAGGTACTCTTCGGAAAAAACTTAACGTAGAATGATTTTGTGTTATTTTCTTACACATCTAGAGAGCAGTTTAGCGTAAAGGGAACTTTTCCTTTGGAGATTTTTTATAAGAAATTCTAGCAAATTTTCATGCGATTTAATTTTCTTTTGAAAAAAATATTAAAGAAAAACGTTTTCTGCTGATCTTTTACCCTTGATCATACATTAAAACAATTGGAAATTCTATTTCGGCATTTTTCCTCATATAAAATAAAATAAGTTCATCGTTCATTTTTATGTGAAAAACATTTATATCGTATTCTAATTCAAATAAGATGACGAAGAAAAGAAGCTTTGGATATCCGGTCGAATTTCCATTCTGAAAATTTTACAGATGCAACTTTAACAACAATAAGTTATGTGTCATAAACTCGGCTACTTCTCTTTACTCACCTGGCACCAAAATAAATAACAAATGCACTGTCTTCTTAACGATGATGTAGAGATTTCATGTCGAGTTATCCTACTTCGTTTTATGCCATTGAAAACCTACGAATACAGGAACTGTTTTTTTTTTCAATAAAAATTTGTCTCTATTTCATGGTATATTCTTAGCAGAAGATTTATAATAAAAAGAGAAAAATCACTTGAAATCAAACTTGTAAATCTATCAATTTGATCGACGAAGCATATTCAATTAAATTGAAATACGAATTATGTATTTCTATTCACCACAAAAGCGTTTCTTCTTGTCATAAGAGTGTTTGAAATATTCACATTTTGTAACTAGCTCGTCAGTTATTGACCCGAGCCATCTTTTTTGTTTTACTTATTGTAACTATTATTTACCTGATATTCTTTTGTCTTCGTTTGACAAATAAAACGAAGTCATTAAATACTGTGTTGTGTATATTTTAAGAGATGACCTAAAAATTTCTATTGATAATACTTGACTATTCGAATCTTTAGTACGGAGAGTCCAGATAACAAGTCTATTGTCAATGCTGTTCATGAATATCTTCGTCTAATATTTTGTATCACATGGTCTATTATTAGAAAACCGTTTTTGTGTACCTCTGTTTATCTGACACGATCTCGAAACTTTTCTTGATGTGCGATAGTATTATCAAACGTTCTTTTTGTTTGTGTCTTTAAATTATTTCATTTGTAAGTAAAACATATATTGAATATCTTTAAATTTTAAATTGAGCAAAAAATCATGATAAAAAATGTTTAATAGATAATATTGCTTTGTAACAATTGACTCTTTTATAATAGTAGTGTTATTAATAAAGCAAGAAAAACCGTCAAACTATTGTTTTATCATCATTCACTTGCTTTGCTTTTATTTCCTGAATAAGAAAAAGTCTTGTGAAAAAGAAAAGGAACATCCAACAACTACGGAGATTCGCGAAACTTGCGCACACATGAGAATGGCACGGAACTTCAACGAGCAAGAATTAGACAGAAAAAGTATCACGTGAAAATGAAGAAATAAGAAAAGAACATACCAACGGAATTCTAAAATGAATAGGTAGAAAGTTGAACAGGCAAAGGGAAGTAATCACAAAAAAAAGGAAAACAGAAGAACAAACAAAAATGTCACCGGGATGATGGTCTATTTGTCATTAAACTCCAAGCTTGTTCGTCATGTTTAATGTTCTACATCAAGCCAAACATTGATAGTTGGTTAGCATACATCATTGGACGAACAGCTGGATGCGGTACAGCAGTATACGATGTAAATTTAGGTCTTATGTCATCACCAGTTATTGTAATATAGGCACCTTTGTTTCCCATTGTATCGCAATAGTTCGGTGCCGAAAATACAGTAATACATTTTCCTTAAATAGAAAAATAAAACAGTTCAATGTATTTATTAGTATGTTTGTTTCGTTACCATTATGAGCGAGTTCATAGCCTTCTTGTTTAACTTCATGGCTGCGAACAACATATTCTAAATTATTTAATTTAAGAAAACGTTCAGTAACATCAGGACCGAATTGAAGACCTAGGAAATATTGAAATAGTGATTTAGTGTTCATAGGGAGAGAAAAAAAACTTGATTTCAATATTTACCAACACCACGTTTACTTTCCGATCGACCAGCTTGCGGTTGTGGATCACTCCATAAGATTTCTGACATTAATCCTTCTTCGGGTGGTTGTTTAACGCGATCAACAGCACGAATATCTTTTAATGTAACATCATCCTTACTAAATAATCCGCCGTGCATAACCTAAAGCAAATATGAATTCATACCATTAATCTGCTACTTTCGAAGGATTATGTGACCACAAATCCTAACGGCAAGCATCAGCCCGGATTTCATCGATTCATAGGTACTAAAGCTTTGTTTGATATATATCGTTTCTCTATTCTGATCATTTTATCTAGACCATATTGATAGAGATATTTTTGTTGAATGTGTTACTCGAAAGCTCTGATCCTGTTGAAGAATAGATGTTGTTTTTTTTTAATGAAAACTTGCCATGAGATTTACTCGAAAAATCATGCTAGTTGTTAAGAGTCCTGGCTCATGCATTGTGAGCTAAACTGACTCATCCTATTTACAGCAGCTTACTCCTAAGCTGACTATTTTCAAAAATGAACTACGCGCTCAACTCGATATATTTAGAATATTGCAATTTGTGTAACTCGTATTTTAAATGAATTGTAAGATCTTGCCTATGTATCAAAGTTTTCTGCAAGGAAAGTATATGTTTGCATCATCATTTTGGCATAGAGCAACCGATGAATAGCGTGAACGGAAATCATTGGCTTAGGTATAAAGATGACTAAGGGCAGTCTGAAATAGCAACGATATTAAAACGAGGTAGACCTTTCGGCATAATTTATCCAGTAATAAATTTAAGTTTTGTTTAATTCAGGAATATTGGCAGTACGGAAGAAATTCTAAAAGTATTCAGGGATTGGTAATCAATTAAAGTTGTTTCCTCGAACACACACCTGTATATACGCCTTAAATATTAATAATATATTCTCAAGAATAGCAATGCATCATTTAGAAAAGTTCGGCTTATCGAAGTTGTAAATAAACTAACTTACAAGAATTTTATTATTGATGCAATGCGATAATGGCAAATAATTAAAAACTTCAGTAAATAATTGAAACATTTGTGCTGTATATTTTGCTTTGACTTCACCTTCAAATCCATACATTTGATTCATTGTTAATGATTCATGATTACCTGCAATACACAAATAGATCATTTACCAAGTGCAATCAATGAAATCATCAAACTAACCTCGAGCAAGAAAGAAATGATTTGGATAGAGTAATTTAAATCCAAATAAAGTAAGAATACACTCAACACTGAATGAACCACGATCGACGAAATCGCCATTAAATAACTAAATATGGAAACATAAAGATCAATCTTATTCAAAACTATTCTTTTTTTAAATGTACATATGGATTATCTTCGGATGGTGGTCCGTTTAAGGCAAAAATATTTAATAAATCATAAAATTGTCCATGAACATCTCCACAAATAGTAAATTTATGTTTCTAAAAGCAAACGGGGGCAAACATGTGCAAGATATTAGATAGTATTAAATACTGACTTTTGGTACAGTAATATCAATTAACGTTGGTAACGATTTAAGCAATGTTAGAATTTGTAGAATAATCTAAATAAAATAAAAAATATTATCTTTTATCAGAGATTAAAAAAAGCAATGTTTTACTTGGTAAGCATATTTCTTATGAAGTTTCTTTTGGCTTTCAAAATACGGCAATACTGCGTACATAAATTCTTTTGTAACTAGACCATCAACATCTAAATGTGGTCCGTCGTATTCTTTTTCTACAACTAAAATAAAACATTAAATTTAGATTTATTAAAAAATATGGCAAAAAGAGGAATATTAACTCATGGTATTGAGTTCAATTTGATTTGCAACTGATTTCGATGATTCATCAACAGCAATCGCTTTTTCAAAACGAATGCGTGTTACAACTTTTTTACATTCTTCATATTTCATTGTTGCATCTTTATCGTTGGGACATGCTTTTGTGACCTGGAAACGTTAGTGTTAAATTCAATTGTGAACTATTTGAAGAAAGAATCATCAATTAAAACTTACATATTCGTAATCAGATAAAGCTAATGTATATTTTCCTAGAGCCATATAAGACGATGCTCGACGATAAAATGCCTAAGAAAGATTACGATATAAAAATAATAGTTAGAATTGAATCATGGAGCTGAATATATGTAGGCTTATAGACGTAGACTGTCTTTATGTAACGGTGCATAAGCAAAATCACGTGTTAACGAAGTAACTATAAAAAATTAAGTTGCATCTATCTTTGCATTACGAACGTTGAAATATATAATCAAATTAGGAAGTGGAATACACATTTTCAACACTACAAATCTTCATTTAGAGTCTCCAAAAACAAAAGTAGTAATATAAAAATGTATGTGTTTATAACTTTATATGATATTTATGAAGCAAGCTCCTAAGAGAAAGTCTTTTAGGGCTTTATCTTGCTCGAAAATTTCTTTAGAGGTGTATGTTATGCCATAGGACTTATTACGACTTTTCTTTTATATTTATAGAAATATTTGTTAAGTACTTTTAAATTAATAGTCAACCTAAAAATTCAAAAAATATTTATACAAACTTATGCTACAAGAGCTTGATCAGAAAAAAACCCTTGTCAAGAATTAAATATAAATAATATATAGGTACATTATTTTTTACCAAGAAATTCTTATAAAAAAAACTTCAAATAATTGAGAAACGAAGTAACGATGTGACCCAACGATTCGCATAACATTCGACAATTCAAACTGTCTAGTTGTATAATCAATACCACTGCTTGTCCGATTCTGACTTTTAAAGTGCATTACAACAATTAGGAGAAAAAATGTTATCTATACTTTGTTTATCATGTTATTTCAAATAATAATTAGTTTCTTGTTTGACAATATGAATTATATTTTGAAAAGACCCGAATTATAGACATGTCATAGCTAGCTCATGATAAGTTCATGATCGCAAACAGAGAGATTTACAACAAAACAAAACAAAAAGATATCCGGAAAAGAGGAGAACCTTAATAACTCTTGACTTTTCAGTATGATTAAGTTACTTTAAATGCGTGCCTTTCTTAGCAATAATATTATTTCTTAATATTTTTCATCAAACTTTCACAGATTACTTCGGCATTGAAAACTAAATCTATTTACATTGTCACATCGTGATTCGGACTATGTAGCGAAACGAGATAAAGCAAACAATGTGAATTGTCGAACAATACACATATGATTGGATTAGGCTCCGACTTAATTAAGTTTCTTGCTTTCTTGAACCTTCTTTAAAAATATGATAACCAAAATTTCCCTACGGTACGCAACTATGCCTCAGTTGGATCAGGAAGTCTTTTTCTACAGAGCTACATATATATCGATACGTAGTGTAAAATAATCTTTTATATACAGTCAACAAAATGAATTACTTTGATGTATCTTGAATCATATTCAAGTGCTTTTTTAGCATCAATTAATGCATAGCCGTACCATTCACGGCGAAGATAAGCAAAACTTCGATTTGAATATAAAATTGCATCGGGATGAATTTCAATCGCTTTTGAATATAATTCAGTTGCTTTTTCATAATCACCATCTAAATAGATTTCGAGAGAAATAGTTTGTTTTTTAAACAAAAAGTTTTTTTTTCTTCACTTTTAAATGCTTCATTTGCTTGAGCTTTTATCATATCAGCTGCTTCTTTACCAATAGATATTTCATGTTTAGCAGCTTCCAAGCTACTAGTCTCTAATTTTTCTGTTAAATCTTGCTCAACAGTTGATGCCATCTAAAAGCAGAGCGTCAACTAAAAAATAATCTTTCAAACCTGATTAAAAAGACTATTGCATGAATAAATAGACTCGGTTATGTTTTATACGAACAAAAAGAAAAAGAGTGAACGAAAAAAAAAGAGTGATTGTTCTCTGAAGGAAGAGCTGTAGTTTTATGAGCCCCTAAAATTAAAAAATTTAAATTAAAAAATGATAAATTAATTTTTTAACATACACAATGATGTTATTGATCTAAAATATTCAAAAGATTAGATCGTTTAAAAACAAAGAAAGAGACTTACTGGAATGTGAATAAGTTTCACAAAAAAACCAATAAAACCCATGATAGCAAATCCTATTCAAGAAACAAAAAACAGTAACAATTTATTATGAAGATTTTATTTTTACCAATTGCTGTTGCCATAGCGATCTTTTGATATTCTAAAAAAATATACATTATAATTTAGAATATGTTATTAATCAACGAATTTCAATTTAATTCCAACGAAAATATTTTCCAGGCAAAAATAAATATTTCATCTATTTCTATAGATAGATAAGCAGAGCAATGAAAGGCTATACACTTAAAACGAAAAAATCTATTGATATTCAGGTTCAGCAATTCATTGCATTATTAGGATAAATCAATTAAACTAGAAAATTCTCATGGTAAATATGTATGAGCCTAGATATTTCATTTTCACGATTTCATCTGCTTGCACTGGAAAATTTAAACAGCATGGTGTTTTTTTCTTGCCATGCTTGGATAAAGATCGGCCATTAACTTCAGAAAAAAAATAGTATTTTACATACTCAAAAGGTATGTCTTATGTAATTGACCGATCTCTATCTAACCATGACGTAAAATCAACACTTTAAAATTTTTGAAGTATAAGTACGCAGCACATCTTAATATTCGAGCAGGGCTGCCAACCGCACTCCATTTTGCTATTTTATACTCCATTTAGACTTTTCTCATTTTGATAAAGAAATACATAATACAATGTGTTGATAAATAACTGACCGATAGATATATTAGCATCCATTTTGTTTAACTTAGTCTTGAATTATTTGGTTTCACAAACTATTTTTACTATGAATAATGAAATCAGTTTTATTGAATTTTTCTCCTGTTCTAATTTCTCATCGTTTGATTATTTTTTCCTATTAAATTTGACAGATACATATTGCCTCAAAAATGAATATAGTTTTAGACTTTCTCTTCAATATATTCGTTCTTGGGGATAATCTTCGCATGGCATTGAATAATGGTTATGAAAATGAAATTCTTAATAATTCAGAGATAAAAATAACTGAAGAACTTCTTAGTTTTCGAGACAAACCAACTACCACCAATATCAAAGAAAAAAAGCAGTTCATCATAGTCAAAAAAAGCGCTGTATCTTCAGCCAAAAATGGTCGACACATCCTAAATATACAACATTTCTCAGAGAATGTCGAATTAATAAATATTTTACTCATTGTTCTTTATGTGAATCAGATTTTTCTATTTCTAAGGGTAGCGTTTATCTGATTGGTTTTCTCAATTAAATCGTCTTCTTTTTAGGAGGTAGATAATGTACCCCATTTGAAAAATAAGAAATGGCAGCCCTGTATTCGAGTGTCTTGAACATGTACAGGCTATAAACAAATCATAATTGGTATTCCTTAGTTTGGACAAATTAATATACACAGAGATCTAAAAACTGAGTTGCGGGGTACTCAGCCTGCTAGTTAGCATCAGTATAAGTCGGAAGTATGGTGTTCAACTTAATAATAATCAATAAATACCTTTTCGATCGGGTTTGGTACATTTTTTAATTAAACGGAATGAATCCTTAAAAAATTGAATGAATGATTGGATGTATGGTTGTACTTGATCCATTTAGTTTATTTCTTAAATAAAATCTAGAATACATTAAACAAAAATCATCCATCAGGATACACGTGAATAAAGTGATTTTCGACTGTACACCACACCATTTCTATTGAAAATAAATGGGCTTGATAATGTTTCTTAAGCAATGCTATGAATTCTATTAAATATTTAACTACATGTTTGCTTTTTTGTTTTCTTTCATAGAAATAAATTAATTATAAATAATAAATAAGTAATTAACTTCAATAAGTATATAAAAATAGCTATTTAAATAATGTTAAACAGGCGTAAAATCATGCTATCAAAAGCAAGGAAAAAGTCAATTTGTTAATGAAATTTCACAAAGTGATAAATGACATTCTATTAACGCTTGCAAAAAAAAGCAAGAAATCCTAATTTCAAATTAAAAACTTCATATTCAAATCGATATAGCCCATGCAACATGTTTCACCATCATTATCATCTAAAAAACCTAAGTATGAAAATTTTAAACTAGAAGAAAAACTAATCTTTATTTATCTTACCAGAGTAAAGCAATATCTTGATGGAGAAGAATCACTTAGTTGATTAAAATCTATTTAGATGATATAGCTGTTTTCGCAAAGAATTCAATAAATAAATAATGAATAAAATGACTTTTTTTACTTCTTTCATGGTTTACCTTGACTATTTATTTCCATTGTTGTCATAGAATTATGCGTCGTTCTACTGTTATTGTTTTACAGAAGATCTAGAAAGAAAACAGGATCAATACTGGATACTGTCCTTTTTTTACTTTTATACTTGACAATGGAAGTTTGAACAGAATCAAGGATAATCATTGGTAACAAAAATTCAATGTTACAGGTGTTCTTTAGAATTCGAAGTAAATACATTGTCTTCAAAAGAACAAAATTTATTCTTCGATAAGAACAGGTAAAAATATGTTTTGTTTGTTGTCTGTTATTTCTACATAGATATATATTTATACTGATTTGTGATCTTCATGTAAAACTAGAAGATGTTGATAGAAAAAAAATGGAAGCAATATTTCAACAAATAAGAAATAAATTTCATTACTAATTTCTTTATTTGTTACATAAATAACTATCGCAAAACAATCTGTAGACTAGCGACATCATTCAATTCCTAGATTTTCCCAGCAATCTACGTCTTTTAAATTTAATACAATTGATTATTTATCTGATAGGATAGGGACTCGATGAAACGACAAAAAAAAGAAAATTTATTCAATTCTAAGTGTTCAAGTATTGCATATTCTATGCTGGTATCATATTTTCTCATGATCCTGTTTGCAATTATTTTTAGAAGAAAGTTTTCTCAATACAAATCAATATATTTTCCGTCGCTGACTTTTATAATCCATTCTATCGATCGATTGTATGATAGAACTGAAAAAGAATAATTTGAAATTTTATAAAATTCTGCTGTCTCAGATATTAGAATTTTCGCAGTAGTCAACATCATATTATATGCTAAAAGTACTGAACTTTATTTTTTGATTGCAGTAGCCTTGTTGTACTTTGGTTATGAATGCAAACTTGTACAACGTGATGATGTGTTGATATTCGCTAGTTGAAATTTCAATGAAGTTTTTGTTTTATCTCATTATTGATCCATAGAACGCGCTAAATTGTGTACAAAGAAATAAGTTTAAAATAGAAGGTCCCAAATGTTCTAAATTTTGCAAAAACTAGCGTACTTTCTTTAGTGTAAAGTACTGATTCCAAGAAGCAGGAATCAGCGTACTCTGAATAGCAAATAGCTAATCTCGATTTTAAATTTGAATATCACACTCCACCTATGCTCAGGCTAACTGACATTTAAACTTAGTTAGTTCCAAATCTTGCCTAGCATTATCAAATAATACTAAAGTACTCCCACGATTAATGAATTATGGAAGATCATACGAGCTTAAAATGTATGTATAAGTTTGCAGTCATCAATAGATTGAATTTATACTTGAAGTTCATTGAACATGTTAGAGTAGATATGATATAAACTGCAATTTTGTACTTTCGTTTAGAATGTTATTCAAATAAAATGATTCAACGTATTCTATATTTCGCTTCTAAAATTATCTTATCAACATATTTCATTTACTTCCTGATTTGTCGTAGATAACACAAGACAAAAAAAAATAATTAAGATTACAAATGCTTAACATATGAATATTGAAGATCGCTATTAACAAAAGAATTCGCACGTTCTTTCATTTCAATAGTTTTCCAACTTGACTTTTTGATACATATTCGTTTTCACTGCGTGGGTGAATATACTATCATATAATTCTCGCTTTAAAAGAATTGATTCCCATTTCTTTTTTTTCATTGATTGTCTCAGTTATATCATCGATTCATCTAACGTTCACCTATATATAATATCTAAAGTCAACTTTCATTTAACAATAGAAGGTCTAATGAATCAAAAATCAACGTTGACTTGGTACAAACAGAAGCAGGCGCCATCCTTTTTTCTTCCTAGTTCGAATCATTACCACATTATACGTTTCAAATTTCGCTTACATGAAAAACATGAATACTCACATGTATATACATATATATGTGTGTAATCAGTGCAGATCGACTTTCTAGAAAAATTAAAATGCGAGTTATTGGTCCAAAAAAAAACAACACGAAATAGTGAGACAGATTTCTTTTTTCTCTCACACGATCTAACTAATCCTTTATACTCGATTGATTGGTAAATGACAGCAGATCGAATGCAGAACAATAGACAAGCTAACAGACTATAATGTGTCTCTTATTACCACAATGAAAGCACGAATCAATCAAATAGCAACACGTTCACCGCCGTCATCATCATGATTGTTTACTTCTGAATACATATTCACTCACTTACTCACTAGTCGCCTGTCATCCGACTAATAGTTCATACTGATTGTGCTCGTGGTGATGTTTGCTTACGGTTAATCGATACCCACCTTCTTCTACTCTTTCGAATCTGTCTATAGAATGATGATCATTTAGATTTAAATAGACAAACGCGTGTTCAATGATGATGAATATGTTATCATGAAAATTAAAATCTATATCGGTTTATACATAGACACTCTTCAAATGTTTCGATATATATATAAGATGATTTTCTTTGCTGATGATAACTTACCGCTCTTTACCTACTGCATATGTACTCACGCTCTTTTGAAAAAAAAAGAAGTATATCAAGAAGAGAGCGACCAAAGGAGAGAATATGAATTGCAACTCAATTGAGTGTTTTTCAAATGTATGTGATATATAGATATATTTATGTAGATTAAAAAATAATATCATACTGATTAGAACATTTTTTTGAAGAAGAAGAAGAAGAACTCTCACTAAATTCAATGATGAAGTCAATAGAAAAAGTTCAAATCTTATTTCAGCTTGAAATTTTATTATTTTTTTCGCCTAAAAGTTTTATCTGTAATTCAATAAATTCAAGAAGTGCGATTCCTTTACTGGACTACACAAATAAAACATTTTTTTTCTTCCTCGTCTAAATATATAATATAATGCGTATATATGTAGATCAATTTACTTCAAGATTTATTTATTCATAATCTCAACATAGAAGAAAAAATCTATAAAAGAAATATTTATCCTTATTGCAATAAAAAAAGAGTCTATCGAATAGTTTTCAATTATAAGAAGAAATTGACATATTCTCTCGAAATTTACTTTAATAACATATAATTCTATAAAGATCTCTTGCCATTTCGCACATACTCTCCTCTACTTCACTCGTTCGTTCGTTCGTCCTTCTGTGTCATATAAAGATGATTATATCCAATCGGAATTTTTTTCTCTTCGCTCTCTATTCATTCAATCAAATTTGAGCTTGAACTCAACAAGTATCAATGTCCTCTTACTAATGCATATGCTTCTCCTCTTCTCATCATCACCTTTCTCTATTACGAGGCAAATAAAATATTTTATTCTTTCTCACTCACACCCTCTCTCTCTCTCTCTCTCGCATTCACTCTTTACATCCCAAATACAACGACATCAGTGTGCGTAAATCGAGAGCAAACAACTCTCTATTATATACCGATACACACAAACGCTTTCTCGTACTCGTATTGGCCTATTCATTTGTTGCACACATACACATTTTCAACAACAACGACAATTCTCTTACGAATTATTATCTCAACTTCTTTTTTCTCTTGTTGCTGCCTATTTTCATTTAATATATATATATATATATATATATATACTTATATATCAAACGTACGTGTATAAGATAAGACCCTACGACGAGACAATGAATTGCTCTGTGTATTCATCATCTTTTTTATCACCATACCGAAATTCTCATCCTCATCAATTATCATCATTTCGTATTGATGATATATTAAAAGCACCAACATCAATATCGCCAACATTTATTGATCCAACAGCACTTTGGTCATCATTTGCTGCTCAACTTTTGGCTTATTCACCTGAAATCTTATCAGTTTCAACAGCAACAACAACAACAGCATCACCAAATGATATTTCACCGGCTTTAATTTCACCACAAAAACATCTTCATCATCGACATCAATATCATCCATATTTATCCATATCGCGACATTCTCCAACAACAAAAATTCAACATGATTCTACTTCAAATTTAACAACATCAACAAATAAAAATAATTATCAACATACACTTTCACCATTATCAATTAAAGACAAAATACAACATCAACATATTGACCGGAATGGTATGTTCAAATAGAGATAAGCAAAACACTAAAAGAAAAAGAGAAGAGGAAATAAACACATTAATGATTTCGGAAAAGTGGTCCATTGGTTAGAATTTTAACATTCTCAAGGTTATTTGTCCTTAATTTTGTTATGAGAATAATCAACATATCATTTTCACTATCTTCTCTCGACATATATACATATTATTGATAAAAATACAATTATGATGCTCTTGAACTTGCCATTCGATGCTCTCTCTTTCTTTCGTAGTGTTGTTATTCTATGAGGGGTGATAAAAAGTAATATAACAACTAATGATTCATCAACAAGTTTACTGATATGTATTTTTTTTTGTTGGTTTCTTCTAAAGTATGAAAAAAAAGCAAAGGAAAGGAAAATTTATAGACGAGAAAAATCAATACTATATGAGCTGATCATCGTACTTATGTTAAAAAACGATAATTCATTGAATAGGTGATGTGAGTGTTAAGTGCTCATCGACTTAATTCGTGTTAAAGGATAAATAATAAAGTTTGTTTCTTTTTTTTTTTATTTGCCAATAAAGAATGTCTATCATCAATGATTCCATCATCATCACACCATCAAGCATCGCCGGCAACTGCTGCTGCTGCATATTGGCCATATTTATATTCACGTTGTAATCCAACAGCAGTATCAACAGCAAGCGTTTCCCGTCGTAAAGGTGGTCAAATAAGATTTTCAGCTGAACAAAGTTTACAATTAGAAAAAAAATTTGAAATAAGTCAATATTTATCACCAGTTGAACGTAAACAAATTGCTAAAACACTTCATTTAAGTGAAAGACAAGTGAGAAACTTCTGCTCTTTTTTTTCTTTATTATTAGTAACAATTACTATTTTATTATAGATTAAAACATGGTTTCAAAATCGACGAGCAAAGCATCGCCGATCAGCTGCAACAGTAGTGAAAAAAGTATAGAAAAAATCATTATTCATATCACTGATATATGCATGTTCTTCTTTTTTTTTAGGATGTGGACAAATCATGTTCATCACCGCAACAAACTGATGATGAAGACGACGACGACGATGATATCGATATTGACGACAATGTGGATGAAGAACATGCAACATCGTCGAATTCAAATTAGCTTTCTTTATTTTTACGTTCCGATTCATTGGACAGCAATCTTTTCTTTTTCGTTTTTCTCCTTCTTTCAAATATAGATAACAAAAACAGAACGCATACAGAAAAAAAAACATTAATTCAATTTTTATGTAAAATAATGAATAGAAAGATGTAAAAAATAATAATAACACGTAATGCAAAAATTTCAACCAATGGTTGTATTCGTTTAGTTTATATACAGAAGATAAAATGTCACATGCGATATATTCATTTGTTCTGCGGTGATATGTCCGTATTATACGAGGTAGCTATAGCAAAGATTGAAGTCAGAGCAAAACGAATTTATTACTTCCTCTAAGTGTTCGCATTTCATGGATGTACTTCAATCTTAACTTAATTATTCATATGGATGTGAGTGTATCAAGGACTAGAATAAATTCTTGTTGCCGTCAGCACACTGGTTTATGCAAGCATCTATAAATTTATAGACTCGATGAGTTTCTAATGATGAGTTGTCAGTGGAATTCTCTCTCATTTCCATCGAAACGAAACAAAGCATTCGTATTTGGTTTTTGCGAAATCTGTCTTTGTTGCAACATTTGATTCTTTGTATGTAGAAATTGATTCGTTTTGATACTCTGAGAACTATCATAATTTCTCTTATTTTAGTTCATTCATATTAAGGGCCTCATATATCCTATGTAAATAATTTAATGCGATAAATTAATATGATTTCTTTTGCACGTATGTATATGTACAATTCATAAGAATATTTTCATCTCACACTCACACATATTTTCATATAATCTTTTGTTATGAGCTGTAGAAATGCAAGATATTGTGTAAAGTGTGAGTACACTTTTCATTCTTAAGTAAACACTAGAGATAGAAGCTTACTATTTGCAAACGTATTTTTATCCAATCGAGGGTGCGTTATAAATAAAAAAGAATGAAAAGAAATAAGAATTTATCCATTTTTGAAGTGACTTTTTTTCAATGCATATCAGTAATAATAGTAGAGTTCTTTGTTATAACATTCAAGGAAGACAAATAGTTCGAAACATGATCTAAATGCTTGTAAAATTATGATCTATGACTTAATCATTCGGGGAAGAAGATAGACAAAAATAGTTAGATTCAGTGTAGGCACGAAACACGTAATCTTAATTGTTCTTTTCATTTTTATTCCGCAATAAATGGTTAATAACAAGTATTGTTCGAGTTAGTCTAGGATTGAGACAAGAAAATTAAAAAAAGAGGCTAACCATGGGAGTTGTTCAGAAGAATTCGAAGCAAAACAATACAATTTTCATTTGGCAACCGTACATGAACAATTCTTAGATAGCAGACAGACGACTCAGATTCATCTACATGGTACAAAAAAGTAATTACAATGCCTATCATTCAATGGGATGGGCGCATTATGTAGTTAGTTCTATAGATCAAACTTTTTAGCTCATAGCTTTTCTTTCGATCTTTGAAAAATTAGTTATTTTCGTGTTTTTAGTCAGTTTTCTAATGAAGGATTCGTCATTTATTTTAATGTTCGCTCCACCTTCAAATTCAGGCATTCACCAAACATCTTTCAATATGTTGATGTTTATCAGGTCGCACGTAATTGATAAGCATACAAGTATAAGTTAATATTTTTTCCACGTTATCATCGAAAAAAACGCATATTAAAAGAAATCTTTATTTCGCTTTTCATATTTACAATGCGTACCTTGATGAGTAAAAATAGTTAAAGAAAAAGAATGCGACAGATTTTTTGTTTGTTTTGGAAAAATATAAGTCGCCGAAAGAAGAGTTAGTAAATGCAATAAAAACGTTTACGCAGACAAACAAAAGATAAAGACGGCAGTTTTGCGCATAACAATCTTTATTTGATTAACTATGGTTTGCGATACAGAACTCTGTCTAGTTGGACTGTGTATTAATGTTACTCGATGCTAAGTTCTTTTGAATTTAGAGTTAGATAACAGAGAAACATGATGTAAAAGGAGCAGTCAAGTATACACAGTAGAAATTTAATATTTATTATTTATTAATAAAGTATGAATGGATTTTAAGAATAGTACGCAAAATCTAAATTATTCTAATATTGATAGAAGAAGATCGTACTTGTATCGTAGACTTTTCCGGAATATGATTTCGATCAAGAAGTCTGCTTTCGTATTGCAAGTAACCTATAATAAAAACAAAGGGATATCAACTTTTGATTCTCTCTCTCTCACTAATTTTCCTCTTGGGCAACTAGATTTCAAACGTCATAGACACCATTTCTGATCGTATAAAACAAAGTTTTCTTCAAAAAACAAGCACTTAGATTATGCGCTCTGTTCAAATAAACTGAAGTTTTTATTTTCTTATGAAGAAAAAATGTCGTATTTCAAGGTAAAACATTACAATAAAAAAAATGAAAGTATTCTTTTATTGAGTCTGTCTTCTCCATTGATGAATACATCATAAATAATCGAAGATACACCTTTCACTTCTATAATTCGTCAATTATTGTTTTAAAAAATTACACAATCGACTCGTGCAGAACTCTGTATAGTACTTGCTCAATTAATTACAAAGAAAAAAAAAAAAATATATATATAAAGGTCATCAATGCCATTTGCATTATCGACTAACTAGAAGATGTCAAGCGTAAGATACGCAAGTTCATCGAATTATTTTCTTGTCTGTGAAATGTTTTTGCCTGGGAAAACAAGTCTTTTATTAAAATTGTCATCATTGACGTAAATGTTAAATGCGGCTCATTTTAAAACGAGAAAACATCATGAACGTTAATATCGAGTGAGACCCGTATAATGATGGCAGTAAATATCAACGTCATGGGGTTTAACACGACAAGTATTGGCCCATTTATAGACACGTCTCATGGTCCAACATATACGCAAGAAGTGATTTATGTAGTTTTGCAACTATGTCAAATATTATCTTTTATTGCTTACATTATTGTCGGCTACACTATTTTCTTTCTTCACCAAAAGAATTGACAAAAACACTGAGCTTTCATGGAATTTTCATGATCCTTGTATTTAATTTCATTGAAGTATCACTTTTATTGTCACTGGCTCTTGACTATTTCCATGCGGGTACTGTTCATCCGTCAACTTATACAACCTGTATCGTTTTGACATTCACAGATTCAATATCATACTATTCAAGTTTATTTCTAATGAGTCGGGCAGCATTTGAACGACATTTACTCATTTTTCGCTCGACTTTATTCAATACCAAACGAGGCCAAATTTTGTCTCACTATTCACCGATGATTTTTAATTGTATCTATGTAATAATATACTACTTTATCGTGGACTTTCTTTATCCTTGCGAGAACGCAAACGGATTTTTCATTCTTTTTTTTTTGTGGCTTTATTTGTTATATGAATTTGCCAACGCCTATTTTACTTGGCATCAAATCTATGATCCATCAAGTTGCTCAAACAATCGTTATCATACCCTTTAGTATTGCACTACTAGTAAGAGTTGTTTTTACTGGACAACAGTGACGCCAATCAATCGATCGGCAGAAATATAAAAAATGATCATACAACTGATGAGCCTTTCCATGATCTATTTGATCTTTCGCACACCATTTTCACTGAATCCCATTGCAAAGGTTGCGGGATTACGACAGGTATTTTCATACAACGCCTATTCCAATGTTTTACCTTGCTGGTCACATGGAATATGCATTACTATACCATTTGCTATTGCTCCATCCTTGCCAAACATTAGAACCAAGTTGAGAGCACGGGTCTATACTTAAGTTTTACTTCAACAAATAAAAACGATGTCAATTCAATTTGTTCTTTAATACGATCTACATAAATTTAAATTATAGAGACAATATATTTTAGCTGCAATCCATTCTGGTGTCCTTAACCGTATGCATGCAAGACTTGTAAACTTGAACGATTTAGTTCTCGTCTTACTATGAGGAAAAAAAGCCGTGGAATTTATTGTACTTTTTCTCTTTTTTTTTTTATAGACAAATGTCAATCACACTAAGTGATACAAATGTTAGACATGTTTCGTTTTCGGCAACCTATAATCCATGATAGTTTATTCAGATCGGCAAACAAGGTATTCTCTTTCGTTAATCGTTAGTGTTATTGAAAGATTTCGATTTTCTAATGACTATTTAGAGTATTGAATAATCAATATCAGTTGAAGTGATAGAATGAAAATTCATTATCAAAAAACCAATACTTCCAAGGAATTATATTATAAAAGTCATACTAGAAGAGAATACGACGACAATCAGATGCAACGTAGTTATTTGAATCAGTCAATATCAAAGAGATACATCTAAAAGGAGATTTCATTAATTTCGCCAATTACTGGGTCATGATTCGTCAAAATGCATTAGAAAAATAAATTACAGGCTCACGAAAGAGGACGGACCGAAACTTTCGAGCTAATTGTAATAGGAACTTTATACAAGGAGTGCAAAGTTCGGTCTCTATGCAATTCTCGTCTGTTTTTGTTCATGGGAGAGTGTTTCACATACAGACACGATAGTTTCATCTGCTTTTGATTTTTATATGCTGAAATTCGCCTAAATCATACTTAAAATGTATATTTTCTTATAAAAATCGCCAGAAACTGGCGTAGATTGCTTTAAAAATATGAAAGTTTTGTAAATGAATTTGGCTAAATCATTTTTTCCCAGTGATATTCATTGTTTAAGACACTGAATATTGATTGCAAAATTAAATTGTTTTACTAATACTAACTTTGAATGGAGCATTTGGTTCCATTTCAATCTGATTCATTGTGTATGTAATTGCAATTATTTAAAATGTCACCGATATTTATGGAAGCAGCGGTGAACTCCTCGACAAACTATCAATCAATGAAGAATTTAGAAACTGTGAAGATTCAATCATAGACTAACTTCAATTGTTGTTTATTTTTCGTAAATGTTTGTGCTTCTATAGTTCAAATTTTTTTGTTTGAATCACGAAAAGAAAATAATTAACTATTAATGTAATGTTTACTGACATTCCAGGTTATGAGATTGTCGTTATAACGATGCCATCTCCTTTATGTTTACCGACTTCTAATGCAAATAGCATAGTTCTCTTTCAGTTACATCCATTTTGTCATCTAAAATAAATGCATTGAGCTTTTAAAAAATGTCAAAAGAATGAATATAATTTAGTACAACAGTTTTGCACGTTTACATTTTCATCTATATGTATGAATGTCAAATTTGCTCTGCTGTTACATTGAAGTAGCAAATGGTCTATTTGTTGAGATATTTGTTTTTCAATGAATCATTCATTCATTCTGACTAGGTTCTTGTAATTAGTTCTCGCTACCATTGAAAATCTGGTATTCATTCCCGATAAATGTTAAGATACTGCGTAGTTCTCATACCAGGGCTCCTAATGGGATGGGATGGGACGAAATTTTTGTCCCTTGGGATAATGCAAGTCGTTCCATCCCATCCGATGGGATTCGCTATATTTACGAGAAATCTTACTGAAAATCAAGGTTTATTTTTTTTGTAACTGAAAATTCGAAGTTTTCCAGCATTCCGATTTGAATATTGGAATTAGAGATGCACCAATTCCTAGTACATTGCAAGAAAGATGAGATTTTTGTCTGATGTAGAATGGAGTTGTCCTCTGATTCCATATATCAACCAAGACCATTTTTTTGTTCTATGTAAAACGATAGCCGAGATTTATGAAAGATTAAAAAACGTTTTCGGATTTGACTCAGAATTTGAATTTTCAAGTTGTTTTCGGCCAAATCCAATTCAGTTCTAGACTTGCAGTTTGCATTACACAAACTCTAAGAATAGATTTGAAAAGAACGTTCAAAACTGAACAGAAAAAAAAAAAAGTAAAAAGAGGCTTAGTCCATAACTCCCGATGCTGGAAACGTGTAAACATTGGATAAAAAACTCAAGAAATTGACGGGATTTGATCTTTTCCCTACTTAAAAATGCCGTGCCCGGTAGTGAGAATTATCGATTGAACATCTCTTTCTTCATAGTTTTATTTTCAGTTTTGAACGCTTTTTTCAAATCTATTCTTAGAATTTGTGTAATGCAAATTGCAAGTCTGAAACTAAGTTGGATTTGACGGAAAACGACTAGAAAATTGGAATTGGGAGTCAAATCCAAAAATGCTTTTTCATCTTCAATAAATTTGGATCATAGTTTTTCATAGATCGAAAAAAATGGTCTTGACTGATATATGGAACGGAATCAGAGGACGACTGCCTCTTACATTAGGCAAAAATTTTATCTATCGTACCATGTACTAGAAGTTAGTGCATTCCTAATTGGAATATCATTATCAATACCTTTTAATTCTGTTTGTGATGTTGTAAACGAAATTTGATTTTCTCAACTGAATATTTCTGTTTATCAGAAACTGAGGATGATAATGAAGAAGAAATAATTATAGAAAGTGACATTGAACAATTTATAAAACAAAATATGGTGATATTTTTATTAAAACATTGAAACAAAAATAATATTTATGTTTATTTCTGTTTTCTATGTTTTATCGTATTCTTTATTCAACTGTTCGAATAGAGCTCGGAGTTGGGTTAATGACCAGTACAGAAAAAGAATGATAATATTCACACTTTTCACCTATTGTCAAGTGTGACATAAATGAATAGATATTTTTTCTTTAAAAAAAACAATCACATTTCCCATGGGATTAGGAACTCATCCCATCCCATCCCATTAGGAGGCCTGTCTCATACCATCGTGTAGACATCATTCGATAAACCTTTTTATTTTTTTTCCATAATTTCAAGGTACAAAAGTATCTGTTTCTCATCGAACGGTTATTATTATCGAAATTTCGTTCAATGTTTTTCAAATAATCATGGAGCGATATAATGCATAAGACTATACAATTTTGTAAGAGATATACCATAGAGCAACCCATACTAGTATAGAAAGAACCAAAAAGATTTACGTAGGCATTCATGTTTTATATTTTTTGGATGACCTTCGCCCATTGGATTATACGAGTAATTGTTATTTAAAGACCCAATCATTTTCGGTTCAGCTTTTCTTTCTCGTATTTGTAGATTTCGATAGAATAGATGCAGTATAATATTTGCTCGCATTTACTTTCTATTGTAACTTTTAACCGCGCAATACATTTTGTATTAAAGGCAACATATGAAAAAAGCTGTAACATGAATAGTTCTAATTTTGAGAAAGAACTGCTTCTTCTATTACTATAGTTTCGCTTTTGAAATGGGCAAATACACGATTTATTGGTGTATTTCGTCATCTGACGGTAAGTAGTTCTTAGGTGCGCGCATTTTTTCTATTCATAAGACTAGATTACACATAATTTACTGCAACACATTTGCCAATATAGATAACCAACAAAGTATATTGATCTAAGCGCCGAAAATTAATTTCACAGAATTTTGTATATTGTGAAAATAACTTTTGAAAATTCTAAATTTTGTACACGCTACAAGTTACTATATGCCGAATTTTGTTAACATAACACATGAAATCATTAAAATTGGAAAAAGAAAACACTACCAATTACCACAAGAGCACATCTGTTACATGTGAGTGTCCGTAAAACGTTCTTTCATTAACATGGAGTACTTAAAGGTAAATATCTGGAGAAAATGTGCTTTTAAATTTAGTTTATTTTTTCTCAGCGTTTGATTTTATTAAAGGAAGAAGTCCGCGCGCTTTTGGAAGTATGATCAGTTAGCTATACATACTTGGAACATTTAGAGTATTGCAATATAGGGGTGAGAATTTATTGTTATTGTTACTAATAACAATAACTTTTTTGTTATTGTTATTAGTAACAATAACTTTTTTTGTTATTGTTATTGATAACAATAACTTTTTTGTTATTTGCTATAAATAACAGATAAATAACAAATAACTTTTTTTTTTGAAAAAGATCTTGTCTCATCTCGCTGTATATTTTAATTACATCCATTATATGAGCTTATGCTTTAGAACAAATTTTTGACTTCTATAGTGCCAATTCGCATGGTATACCCATATAAACAATGAACTGAGTTTTGAGGAAAAAAAGTTATTTCTTATTTATTTGTTATTTATAACAAATAACTATCGAAAAAAAGTTATTGTTATTAATAACAACAAGATAACAATAACTTCGCACCCCTATTGCAATAACTTCTGAACACGTTTGCTACTACTATCATTTTGTACGGAAGGTCTCCGCTAGTTTTTCTTTTTGCGAATTATTTCCGATGCCTCGCTTTTTTCCAGTTTTTCATATAAAAAGTTTTATTTTATATTACGGATATGCATACGCATTTGCTATCTCAAAAGAAAATCAATGAAAGCACTCAAGCCTAATCAAAAGTATACATTCAGGAAACATTGTCTCAAATAAAACTTGTATTCTTTTATTTCTGGAGGCTTCATGAGTTGAAACTGTAAGAATCAAGAAAAATGAAAGTTTTCGTTTGTTTTTCTTGTATTAGTTTTAGACGAACTTTTCACTTTTCGGACTTTATGAGGTAGTAGCAAAGCCACAGTCGATCGCCTATTTTCATGTTATAACCAAATTCAGTTTACTAATTCATGTTCAACTAAGTTGACATGACGGAACATTTCATATAACAGAGTTTTACTTTTCTAACAATTCTACACGTTACTGGTGAATTTTGTTTTTTTTAGATTTCTCAAATAAATAAATGTTGAAATCGATATTTCATGTATGACTTTTCGAATAAAGTTTTCTTTATAATCATTTATCTTTCAAACTTTGTATTTATTCACAATATAATTGGAATTTTTGTTCCAAAGAAGACCGATTATGATGCATATGGTATCAAAATAGCAATGAATGAACATTTTCTTGTATTAGCTGAAAATAAAAAAGAACATCCAACTTTTTTTATAAAATTTGCACCATACAACAATACTCAACTTTCATTACAATGTTCAACCTATAATATAAATACAACAGATTCTTTTATTTATACTGTTGCTGTTGGTAAAAAACAAAATCAAAATCAAAAACATTTTTATTTTGCGGGTGAACTGATCAACGATAAAAGCGGAATATTTGTTGGTGTAGCAGTATACAATAATAATTCATCATTATTATGTAACAATAATTTTACATATTATTTTCAATATTTTTTTAATTATCAACATCAAGAATATTATCTACTTGGTGTTGAACCGAATGGTTATTTTACTTATGGATTTTCAAATGAATTTATATTTATATTTGATGTACGAAATACTTCAGTTTTAGATCTATGGAGTGCAAATTTAACGTGGCCAGATGCTACATTTATTCCTCATGCTGTTGATGTTACAAAAAACTTTGGTGTTATATCAGGATTTATTTATAATGGAATGAATTCCACAGTAAAATATAGTCCCATGATATATCTCTTTAACTTTAATTCATCAAATGAACGTCCAATTGTTGTTAATGAATATAAACCTATCACTACTCCTGGTACATGGCAAGATCTATTGACAAATGATAATGCAAATTTCTATTCAGCTGAATATGATATGTCTGTTAGTATTAATCAATATGGAGATGTTTTAGTTGGTATGCCATTTATCAATAGAGTGCTCTTATTTTCTGTTAATATTAGCAAACCGACACAACTATATTTTGTTAGTAGAAATACCAATGGTAGAGCGTTAGGAAATGGAAAAAGTATTGCTTGGTTAAACAATGGTATAGCTGCTTTAGTTGTCAATGTCTATACACTCGATTATGATTGGTTAACATCACAAATTCAAGTTTATGATATTCGAACATTTGGTTACAATTCAAATAGTACTCCTCTATTAATTTTTCCAAATAATCATGAAAAAATACCTAAAAGTCTTGATCCCGTATTTATAAACATTGTTTCATCACCATCGTCATTAGCTCTACTCGATAATAGTGGGCATATACTTATATTTCTTCCAACATTGCCAGGTTTCTACTTGACTGTAAAAGATACAGGAACAATGCCATTAATTACAACATCACGAGCATGTATACCAGGAACATTTAAAAATCAATCAGGCATTCATGATTGTACACTTTGTCCAAGTGGAATGAAAAATCCAGGCAATTTTACTACATTTTGCATTCCATGTTCATCGGATTCATTTTGTCCTCTCGGTTCAGTAAATGACGTACCTCAATCAGCATTGGAAAATGTAATACAGGCTGTTCCATATCCAAAATCACCAGAAAGTGTTGTATTTGAAGAAATTCTCATTAAGAATATGTTTCTTATTGGATCTAATCGTTGTGTTGTAATCTCGCCCCTGTTTTGGACATTAATTGTTGGCACTTTAGCTGTAGGAGTCTTAATTATTATGGGAATTTCTAAATATATTATAAAAGATCCACGAAAAAAACGAACAAGAGAATTAATAAAGAAGATTTTCAGACATACAGATTTATTTGGTGAAGGTGAATTGTGGGTTGGTGGTTTAGCATCATTCTCTGCTATTACATTAGTTTGTTTTGCTTATGCATTTAGTAGTCATTTCATGAGACAATATCCTATAGAAACATCCTCAGATTCATATTTTGCTTGCGATACAACAATAAGAAATGCAAAATTTCAAACGGGTCTACAATCATTAGCCATACCATTTGCCAAACCTGATCAACAAATGTTTGATCTATTAGATAATCAAACATTAATTTTAAATGTTGATTTTGTAAATACATTCATTAAGTGTGATGCTATCTCGATTGACGCTCTGCTAGATTTAGTATGGTCAACAATTCGTTGGTTAAATTGTGATAATATTAACTCTACGCTATCCTTATCTGTTCAACTTCCTTATCAACATGTATCCATACAAGTTAATATAGCTGATGCTAAAATAATAGGAGCTCTACGAATTGGCCTTTATGGAGATAAACATGAAAGTGAAAATTATGTATTGAAACAATTAAAATTTTATCAATCATTTTTTAAAAACGGATCAATATTAGCAAGAAATTTGCCTGTTGCTGTTTCGTTAACAAAAGTTATCAATGAAACATTATCAATCGATGGCGGAGAATCAATATTTAGTGGTATTTTTATTCCAACGTTCACTGTTGATCATAATAGCTTATTTTTTACAGAAGACCAATTTGCTCGTTCTACATTAACAGTAACCACATTGAACATTGCTATTAGTGAAACTCTCTATTATGTAAAAAATTTACAAGAACCAATAGCAAAATCATCAGAAATTATATTTCAAAATCTTTTATTTACAACTGTATGCTTAGAATTATTTGGTCTTATATTCTTATTATTTAGACTTCTTTTAAAACCAATGTATTATTGTATTCGGAGAAAAACGCCTACACACAATCAAACACATGTTGATAATAAAGAACAAAATTGTGCTCATAGTTTAAACGACAAAACATCTGGTACTACTTATGTAGATATGAGTCACACTGCATATTTATAAAGCAATAATTTTTTTATTGTCTAAATATTCTTCAGTTCACATTCAGCTCTTTATTTTCTTCTAATACTTTGATACGTATAAACAAAACTTTGTACAGGTAACCTATCTCTCACGATACAAAAATGAATTTTGTTCGGAAATAATCTTTGAAGTTCGATCTTAGACAAGGAACATGCAAATTGTATATGACAATCAACGAATGGTGAAACTTGAATTGCAGATAGTCAAAATCAGAAAGTGGCAAGTGTTCATTTTGGCAGACTAAAACTCTCTACAGATTTTCATTCTATAAAGTTAATTTCTCGTTGATTTCATAGCGCATATCAAGCAAGAAGATATCAAAGAATCTTGTTCTTGAAAATCTGATTTTTAAAGCTATAAAAAATTTACCTTTAACGGTAAAATCATTGTTATATGCTACTTAGCTTGGTAGAAGCCACACGCATTGAAACAAAACACTCGGTTATGACTGATACTTTCAAATTCTTTCTAAATAAAATTCTGCGATCAAATAAAAATCAATATAGAAATTAAGAAGAACTCGATATGGTTGGCAGTTGTAATTTAAAGAACTGTGCATAGCCACCGGTTTCTTTTACAATTGCAATAAGAAACGAATAGAATATCTAAATTATCATTACACATAAGAAAGTCTATTTTAAGAAAACTTATCATTGAAACAAGTGCGCAAAGACAACAAATGTGGTTCCTAAACCTGTGAGATATCGCAGATGGAATGCAACAGTGCAGCTGCCAGCTGAACTTGTTCTTCATTTAATTGACACAGAATCTACAATAGACTTTTCTATGATACTATCACACTATATAGAGTATGTGACGGATGGGGGGGGGGGGGTTTTGGGCTTTTT